ACGAGAATTTTTAAAAATTTTTTAAAATAATTGAATTCTTGTGATGAATATTGATATTTATCAAAATAATTGAATTTTGGAAAAGAATTTTATGAAAATTCCTTAGAATAATTGATTTTATGGAAAGAATTTATGCGATATTGTTGTTTATCAAGATAATTGAATTCTTTTACAAAATTACTTAAAATTTTTTTATAATAATTGATTTTCTGCGACGAATTAAATGTTATTTATGAAGATATTTGAATTATTGCAACGAATTTTATTGTTTTATTGAATAATTGAATGTTTCTTAAAATTAGATTCTTTCCTCAAGTTTTAATAAAATTTTTAATAATAATTGCATTTTTCAAGGAATTTATTTAAAATTGTATTAAAAATATTTGAAATTCTGCGATGAAAATAATTGAATTCGTATATTGAAAGAAATTTCATTATTTATGAAAATAATTGAATCTTTTCGTAGAATTGTATCAAAAAGTTTTTTCTATTATTAAACCTGTTGATAAATTTTATGAAAATAGTGAATATTGAAAATTATTGAATTTGCAAAAAACTTTTGAAAGTAATTGAACTTTTGCAAAGATTTTTATAAATTTTTGAAAATAATTGAATTTTTGGCAAAAAATTTTGCTATTTGTAAAGATAATTAAATTCTTAAAGAGATATTCGTGAAAATTTTTTTAAATAATTGAATTTCTTCGAAGAATTTCATTATACTTTTGAAAATAATTGAATTCTTGGGATGAATATTGTAACTTTTGAAAATAATTGAATTTTGTAAAGAATTTTATTAAAATTCCTAAAAATTATTGAATTTCTGTAAAGAATTTTGTTATTTATCAAGATAATTGCATTCAAACCATTGTAATAATTAAATAATATTAAAAAATTTTTTATCCTATTTATAAAAAGTTATTCATATATCTCTATTTATTCAGGGTGGCCGCAAGATTGACTTTATCAATTTCCCTGACATTTCCCTGATTTACTGACATAACAACGAATTTCCCTGACAAAAATTTTTTTGTTTAGAGCAAAAAATGTATTGCATGACCGTCTTAATTTCTTTAATTGCCCTGACAAAAAATTTTTTTCCTGACATTTCCCTGACTTTACTGACAAAATATTTTTTTCCCTGACATTTCCCTGACTTTACTGACATGTGGCCACCCTGTTATTATATTATTATCTATCAAGCAAAGTGTTCTTGAAATGAACACAAAGATAATATAACAAGAATAAAGAACTTGTCAGTGATTTTCAATTTGTTTGTCCGCCATTTTGAATTTTGCATTTACGATTCTAGATTCGTAATCAGCAACCCTAATATAGATACTAAGTGTATGGTAAAAATTGAATCAGTGAAAACAATTTGGGTTTTTAAAGATTAGTAAAAATGTACCATTAGAAAAATTAAATTTTTGACGATTAAAAAAAACAATATTAAAATAATTTAATTTTAGGTACAAATTCCTTAAAACTAAATTATAGAATAATTTTTATCATATCTTCACTTTAATCTTTCGCAGTAAAATAACTAAATAGTATACCTTCCACAAAAATGACAGTGAAGCGGGAAAAAATTTAAAACTTCAAGTGCACTATCATTACCATTAATTATTTATTTTTCAACAATGCACAATTTTTAAAGTTCTTACATAACATTATTATTCCAGGGTCTTGGTAAACCTCCTCCCAATATTCTCTTGTTTCCCATTTAACGTTACGTAATAATACATTAAAAAAATGTAACTAATATGATGTAATTGTTTACAATTTAACAATATTGATTAGTAACAAACAACGAAACAACTTTTGCAATTGCTGCAATTTTATGAAAACGTGAAATAAATTTCATTTACTTACCTTTTATTTAAATTTCCAACATACTTGTACTACAATTATAACCAGTTATTATAAATTCTTAATTTAAAAATTTTTGAACTATTTTTTTATGTTGAAAATACGTTGTAAAAAGTATTATTATTTACTGTTTAACATGCAAAATGTTTGAAAATTCCTGAAAAAGTTATTTAAAAATCCTCTTTTAATACATTTTTTGTTTAGGAAGATAGAAATTATAATTTTTGTTATTCGAGAATTTCTACTTTTATTCAAAAAAATTATTACTTAATGAATAATAATAAATAATTAATAAATTTCATTAATTTAAAATTATGAAATAATATAAGTAATTAATTATTAACTAACAAATGTTACGCGCGGAATATAATGTTCAATTTATTATTATCATGCAAATTACCAAAATTTTTTATATTCAAATATAAATTTTTTAATATAATATTTCATAATTATAAAATTTTAAAAATTCACTTAATTATTATTAAGTACATTATTATTTTTTATATTTTCAAAAATTTTAATATATATGTAATTCTTCGCAAGAATTCAATTTTTTTTCATAAAAAAAAATAACATTTTTCGAAAGAATTCAATTATTTTTATAAACAGTCAAATTTTTTTTTGCACAAATTCAATTATATTCAACAAAATTTTAATAAAAATTCATAAAAGAATTCAATTAATTTCTAAAATTTTAATAAATCCTTTGAAACAATTCAATTATTTTTTTAAATATATAGTAAAATCCTTGCAAAAATTCAATTATTTTCAATAAAATTTCACGAAAGAATTCAATTTTTTTCTGAATTCGTTATGAGAAACTTTCCAAAAAAAAATTCAATTAATTTTCTAAAATTTTAATAATCCCTTCGAAACAATTCAATTATTTTTATGAATAGTAAAATTCTTTACAAAAATTCAATTATTTTTTTAAAATAATAAAATTCTTCTGGGGAATTCAATTATTTTCAGTACAATTTTAATAAACTTGAAAAAATCAAATATTTAATTAAATTAACAGACACGATTATTTTTAAAAATTGAAAAAAACTTTTTGGTAAATTTAATTATTTTTAAAAATTTTTAATTAAAATTATTCAAAAAATGACATTATTTATTTAAAAATAAAAAAAAAAACAGTTAAAGAAATGCTTCAAAAGAGTTTAATTTTCAATCAATGATTTAAATAAAATTTTATTAGTAAAATTATTATTAATTACAATTATTAACAAAATCGATTATATTCAATAAATAAAAGAAATTTTTTGAAAGAATTCAATTATTATCAAAACCTTTATATTGTATTTTTTATTTTGAAAAGATTTAATTATTTTCTATATTTTCATAAAATTCCTTGAATGAATTAAATTATTTTAGAAAATTTTAATAAAATTCTATGAATTTAATTTTCTACAAAAGAATTCAATTATTTTCATAAATAATAAAATTCTTGTCAAAAATTCAATTATGTTCTTATAAATAATAAAATTCTTCGAAGGAATTTCAATTATTATATTAAATTTCTTTCAAGTTTTTTTTAAATAATCGTGTTTGTTAATAATTGAAATTAAACATTTAATTATTGCGAATTTTATTAAAATTTAGAAAATTGAATAATTTTATAACGAAATTAAGAAAAAAATTGAATTCTTTCGTGAATTTTTTTTTTTTTAAATAATTGAATTTTTGCAAAGAATATTACTATTTAATAATTGAATTATTGTTTCAAAGGATTTATTAAAATTTTATTAAACAATTAAATTTTTTCGAAAAATATTAAAAAATTAAGAAAAAAAAAAAATTAATTCTTTCGTGAAATATTGTTTTGAATAGAAATTGAATTTTTGCAAAGAATTTTACTTTTTATAAAAATAATTGAATTTTTTTCAAAGGATTTATTAAAATTTTAGAGAATAATTGCATTTTTTTCGAAAAATATTAAAAATTTAAGAAAAATTGAATTATTTCATGGAGAATTTTATTAAAATTGTATTAAAAATAATTGAATTTTTGCAAAGAATTTTACTATATTTATAAATAAAATTGAATTGTTTCGAAGGATTTAAATTAAAATTTTAGAAAATAATTGCAAAAAATTTACTACCTACTTATTTATAAAAATAATTGAATTCTTACCAAGAATGTTATTATAATTTTGAAAATAATTGAATTCTTGACAAGAATTTTATTAAAATTTTTTAAATTAACGAACAAGAATAATTAATTAGTAAACTAGTTAATAATTTAATTAAAAAGTTTGTATATGAAATTATTCAAAAATTCATATTTAAAAATAAAAAATTTTGTAATTTGCATAATAATAAAATAATAAATTGAATGAAATTTGAAAATTAAATACTTGAATTTGAAACATGTGCTATTAGTTAAAGAATATCCCTTAAGTGCGCTTTTCTTTTCCCCTAAAAGAAATCCTTTTAAATATAAATATTAAAAGGAAAATCCGCCTTTAAAATAAAAGGATTTCTTAAAATTTAAATAGATTATTTTCTCATTGTCGGTGACCCCTTTATTCCTAACAAAAGTCCTAATTTATGTATTATCTGAATTTTACATTATATTTATCAGGTAAGAAGTTAATTGAAAAAAAATTTCTTTTGTTTCGGGCATTTCAAAATTAAAGCAACCAGCGGAAAAATTCCCGATTTAGTAATAAATAAATAGCTGATTTTTTCGAAAGTGACAGTTTAATTTTTATTGGTTTGAGATTCAATTTACAAACTTTGCATTTTTTGTTTCTATTTACAGATGTTAATTTAATTATTATTTTCTATTTATCTACTCACTTTTGATAAGATTGTGTAGATACTAATGAGTATTATAATAACGTTGATTACTACAGAATTTAATTTACTAGATTTAACGCTGATTCACGCAAATTGTTATTACGTTTTATTGTCATTACTTCGTTTTTTATTTTTTCAATTTAAGCATCATTCCAGTACTTTTGTACGAAAGGTTATTTTTACCCGTATACACATGAAATAAAGAAATAAATTTCGCGGTCATTTCCCGATTTATTTTTCAATTCCCAATATCCCAATGAAAAATGGCCACTTTGGAAAGTTAATATTTTTTTTCAAGAATAAATTATTGAAGAAAAAAAAATGTCTTACCAATTTGTTTGATTTGCTGTTGTTGAGGTTGAAGAACTCTCTTCTCCCGCTCGGCTCTTTGCTCGCTAACGACAACCGGAACCGGAACTGGAATTGGTGCTGGACTTGAAACATTGGAATTCTTACATTTGATCCATGGATTAATGGCCGGTAATGGTGCCTCGACATATTTCACCGGTTGCTCCTCGCCCTCCTCATTATTATCTTTATGATCCTTCTCCTTGTCCTGTGATGTTCTCTCTTTAAATCTATCTTTACTACCGCCACTGTGCGCTCTCTGCTGATGTCTCTCACCACGATTTCGATGTCTCTCTCTATGTTGATCTCTGTGTTCTCGTAATTTCTCCTTTCTTCGCGCACTCTTTGGTGCCACTGTCTGAAATTCCCCGTCACTTCCCACCTCGCCATTTATCAATTCCTTTCTCGACGTGGCAACAACGACGACAATTTTTTCATCTTTCGCTACTGCCGCCGATAAATTCTCATTATTCGAATTATGATGAACCTCGTGGTGTGAATTTGTCTCAATATTTAGTGGTTGATTCAGGGGCGTAATACATTTTTTCTTTTGTAAAATTTTCCCCGCCCCTTTTGTTTCTTTATTAATGTCATGATTTTCTTTAACTGTATGAGATGATGATGATGATGATGTTGTTGTTGTTGATGATATATTCTCCTTATTTGCATGGTCCTTGGTCCTTTGTAAATTGAGAACACTCGCGTATGAAACACCAGGACCGGGGAGCTCACTTGACTCGTTACTGCTCTGGCCGCTCACCCTCGCCGCCATCTTGGCAATCGAGAGAAAAACACGAGGTCCAGGAAAGCCCAGTTAGCTCCCCCGCACACCCACCAGTTCCTCAATTTAATTCACAAACCCTAAAACGGGATTTTTTTTTCTTTCTTCAACAATTACACTCCATATTAGGGCGATAATATTGATCGCGATCAAAAAAAAAAATGAAACTAGAACAATTCCTTTTTTTTGAGGTTAGGTTCGTAACAATTCACCTCACACACCGGTTAACAGTTTCCTATTTTCACCGCACTTTGCCTTTTATTTTTCCAATCACTTATAATGGAAAAATTTTCAAAATTAGAGAGAAAATTTAAATTTGAATTATTGGTTAGGGGGGTTTTAATGAACACGAGGCCGAGAATACGAACGACGCGAGTACGTGACTAGCAGACGGCGCGATTTCAATGATAAAATCCCTCGTTTGTGTGAAAAATAAAAAGGAAAGAAAGACTCGTGTCTCGCGATGATATTACGTTTTTAATTTGCACACACACTCACGCACGATAAAGAGAGAAAGAAAGAGAGAGAGAGAGAGAAAAGGAAAGAAAGAAAGAGTGTGAGAGAGAGAAAGAGTGAACTCGATTATCACGCGGGGTGGGAATTTTTTATAAAATATTATTTTTTGAAAAAAAAGGGATAAAGGAAGTAACACTTGTCCACACGATTTTAATGATTATATTGAAGAGTTAATTGACGGAACGTGGCACGTAACTAGATAAATTTCGATTACGTAAACACTCGGCGTTTTCGGACTTTTTTTGTCAATGGACAAGCGGCTCGGGGAGACATGTGGCCAACGATGCCTCTCGCATTTGGCCAGCCTTTGCCTATGTGTATAGCTGCTGCTGCTACTCAGCTCAGCAAAGTATTCTCGCTTACCAACAACGCGAGCCGCCACTCTTTCCGGTTTTGCGATGCGAGAGCTTTCTGCAATTCTCGTTAGCGCACTTCCTGTCTAGTTCAGATGGCGTTGTTCATCGACCCGCTTATTTTCAATTTCTCATCTTTTTTTACACAAATTTTTAGAGATAGGTATAAGTATCCTGTGTTCGAGAAAATTATTAAAAATTTTTTATCTTGCGTGCCCATTAACATAACCTCAAAATGTATTTATAAGATAACAATAAAATTAATAATTGTAAGGATAAAAACAAAAAAAAAATATTTAACAATAATAATAATAGAAAAAAATACTAATAATAAAAATATAGTAAACTCATAATGATACCGAATAATATAGGATAAATAATACTAATAATAATAAAAATAATAATAATACCAACAAACAAAAAATTCAAAATAAAAAAAATTAAAGATAATAATCATAAAATATATTTAAAAAATACTAAAATGAATAAATTTAATTAATATTTATTATTTTCGTATTTATTCCATATTTAATATTATTATTATTATTATTAATAACTTTAGTAAATAAGGAAGTAGACAATTATAGTTTTTAACAAATAAGGAAACTATTAATTAAGAATTAATTTTATTTAAAATATATATAAATAAATAAAGTACATATATAAATTAACATAAAAACTTACTCTTTTTAAGAATTTTTTTTTCATTTATTAATATTTTTCACATATGTGATGTAGATTTATAAATTTATCAAAATTTTTTTATTTATAAAAAAAAAATGTTTTTAATCATTTTGTATTACAAGAATATTATTACTGTAACTTCTTCAAAATTATTTTTTTCAATTGAATTACTATTTTCTAGAATTTTTAACCAAAAATGTTTCTTTAAATTAATTATTTTTAATAATTTTTTTAAAAAAAAGTTCATTAAAAGTATCAAAATTTCAAATTTTCAAAGATTTTAATTTAAAAGCTTTTCAAAATTAAATTATTTTTAAAAATTCAATAATTTAATGAATAATTGAATATTTCTTAAAATTGAATTCTGATAAAGAATTTTTTCGACGAATTTTAATAACATTTTCTTTAAAATAATAACATTTTTCTGGAAATTCGATTAAAATTGAATTAAAAATAATTGCGAAATTCTGCGATGAGTTTTATTATTTATGAAAATAATGGGATTCTTAAAAAAAAATTGTATTATTTATAAAAAAATAATTTAATCCCTGTAAAAAAATATTATTATATTATTTATGAAAATAATTGAATCCCCTGTAAAAAATTTTATTAATTATGAAAATGAATGAATTAATGCGAAGAAATTTATAAAAAATTTGGAAATAATTGAATTGAATTCACGTAGAATTTTATTAAAAATTTTTTTTAAATAATTGAATTCTTTCGGCAAATTTTATTAAAATATAGTAGATAATTGAAAAATTATAGAATTGAAGAAATTTTTTGAAAATAATTGAAATTTTTCCAAGAATTTGTATTAAAATTTTTGAAAATATATAATTGAATTTCGGAAAAGAATTTTAATTATTTATAAAGATAATTGAAATTTTGACGAGAATTTTGTAAAATTTTTGAAAATAATTGAATTTCTGTGCAGAATTTTATTACTTTTGAAAATAATTGAATTTTATTAAAAATTCTATAAAAATAAGAATATAATATTCGATATAAAAAAAATGTTTAATTTTAATTGAACAAAAAATCTCATTGACAATAAAAACTGAGAACTAATAATATAAAAGAAAAAAGTGTAAAAAAATGTTGTGTTTCGTATATATACATACTATAAATTATTCATTATTCGAATGTATAAATCGATTCTTTATGTAAACTTTCATCTATCTTTGTACAAATTTTTGTGCTAATCGAAATTAATTAATTAATGCGAATGTAAATTAATTTAAATGAAATAGAAATTAAAAAGTAAAATATAATTTTTAAACTCACCTGATTTTATCGTTTTGTATTAAAGAATAAAAACTTTTTTTAACATCTCAAAGAAAAGAAGAAAGAGAGAGAAAGAGAAAAAAAATTATTATAAATTTGTTTATTCATGAATTTATTATTTTCCTCCATTTCTTATACACCTGTTGAAAAAAAAACAGGCATATCAAAAAGTAAACTACTATTAAGATTATGTTGATTACAAACAATTATAATACAAGTCAAAAGTATAAATTTGTTTTTCTTTTTTAGTAATTAGAAATTTATTTTCAAAATTTACAATGGATTTAAAATATTTAAAATATTTAAAATATTTAAAATATTTTAAATTTAATGACAATTTAATACCAAAAAAAGACCACAAAAGATAACTTTCTTCCAAATTTCAATTTTTTAAAAAGTTAATATTTTTGGCTACAATATAAACCAAAAACGTTCAATAAAAGTTCAAAAAAAAATTTTTTTTTAAATTCTGAAGTTAGGGAATGTTTCAATTTTAATTAGATTAGATTTTTTTTTTTTAAACTAACTTAAAAAATTTTTACTTTCACCCAAAAAAAAGTTCGCTTTCAATCTAAAATCCTGTAAATAGTAAAATAATAAATTATAAAAACACATAATGAAAATTAAATCTGTATATTTAATTAATTAATAACAGTCATTTATTTATACAGAATTAAAATATACTTCAAGTATAAAATCTCAAAGCAATCGTAAAATAACTATTGCAAGTGTATACATCTACATATAAAAACACTTTACATTTGGTGTTAAAAAATAGTTCCAAAAAAAAGAAAAAATATCTGTATAAAAAATATTTTCATAAATGTATATATTATAATAATTTTTTTTCGAAAAGTCACAACAATTTATTCTGCAAACAAAACCGTTACCGTATTAATATTTCCCTCATAAATTAAAAGAAGGAAAATATTCTACAGTAAGATAACACTTTTTTTTTATAGAAAAAAGACTGAAAAAATTTTTATATTCTTTATTTAGAACTATTTTTATTTCTTTTCTTTTTTTTCTGAAAAGTTTGCATCGATGAAAAAATCGAGTATTATTCTTTTGATTAAAAATTGACTATTTGCATAAATAACAAGTGTATAACAATTATTTTATTATTGAGGCAGATTTTTTGTTCATTATACTTTTGCTCATATATTATTATTATTATTATTATATATGTATATATATGTACATATATACTTTTTCCTCGTTGATTGTTTTTTTCCTCTGTTGTTTGTTTAAAATTGAATTAAAATACAAATATGTTTCAAATTACGCACATAAAATTAATTGTGTTTAAAATAAAAAAATTTTTTTTCCCCTAAATTTTGATTATTCTGAAATATTTATTATCAACTATTGTCAATTGGATATTTTTTGATTGACCTCTGAAAAGCTTCGGAGATTGTCGATCTGAAATCAGAAAAGCAAAAAAAAAAAAAAATTGTAGATATTAATTTTCTTTCACACAATTTTACCAAAATAGTTATATTTATCTTTCAATAATCAAACTACAATATCTTGAATCTTATCAAGTGTAGTGTATTTTTCAAAGTCAGTTTGAATAATTTTTAATATTGTTAAATTTACTTTAAAATGTGTTTTTCTAGAATTATACAAATTTATCTTAAGATAATATATTTTTTCCGATTTTTGTTAAAAAATTATATTCATTAACTTTGCGGTACTTTTGTAAATTTATTACTTTAGTAGTGATAAAACTTTTCAAATTATGAACAACTTATAATAATTAAAGATGACCGACTGACAAAATCATTATTTTATTATTAAAAAAATAGTGTTACTGTGATTTCATCAAAATTATTTGTATCATTGCAATTCAATTAACATTTTCTAGAATTTTTAACTAACATTCTACTTTAAATCAATAACATCAATTATTATTATTCAATTAAACTTTTTCAAAAAAAATTAATTCTACAGAATCGTTATAGTTAAGGGGACCCGCACCCGAAATTTCAACTATAACAGAATATAATTGAAAAAATTTTGTATATTTTTTTTCTGACACTATTTTGATTCAGAAATAAGGTGAAAAAATCAAAAAAAAATTTCATGATTTTTTCGGAAATTAAAAAATTTTTTTTTAAATTTTTTTTTGTAACTTTTGACAAAATTAAAATTTCACAAATCCATGCCCTTAATTATAAAATGGAGTCAAAAGTTACACAAAAAAATTAAAAAAAAAAAACTTTTTTAATTTCCGAAAAAATAATGAAATTTTTTTGTCTTTTTCACCTTATTTCTCAATCAAAATAGTGTCAGGAAAAAAATATAAAAAATTTTTCCAATTATATTTTATTATAGTTGAAATTTCGGGTGCGGGTCCCCTTAAAAGTAAGAAAAATAATAATTTAATTCTACGAGAAATCAATTATTTAAATAAAAAAATAAATAATATTGAATATTTCTTAAAATTTAATTTTTACCAAGAATTGTATTAACAACTTTTAAAAATATTTAATTTCTTTTAAGTAATTTAATTAAACTTTTAATGAAATTTATCATATTAAAGAATTTTATAACAATTTTTGAAAATAATTGAAAACTTTTTGAAGAATTTTATTCAATTTTTGAAAAATAATTGAATTCCTGAGAAGAATTTAAATAATAATTTTTGAAAACAAATTCATGAGAAGAATTTTATTAAAACCTGTTGATAAATTTTATGAAAATAGTGAATATTGAAAATTATTGAATTTGCAAAAAACTTTTGAAAGTAATTGAACTTTTGCAAAGATTTTTATAAATTTTTGAAAATAATTGAATTTTTGGCAAAAAATTTTGCTATTTGTAAAGGTAATTGAATTTTTGACGAGATATTCGTGAAAATTTTTAAAAATAATTGAATTTCTTCAAAGAATTTTATTACTTTTGAAAGTAATTGAATTCTTGGGATGAATATTGCAATTTATGAAAATATTTGAATTTTGTAAAGAATTTTATTAAAATTCCTAAAAGTTATTGAATTTCTGTGAAGAATTTTGTTATTTATCAAGATAATTGCATTAAAACTTTTGTAATAATTAAATAATATTAAAAAATTCATTCTTGTCAGAAATAGAAAATTTTTTTGAAGCTTTTGTATTAGAATTAGTGCTTTAAGAAATTTCAGTACAATAAGAAGTAGAACGGTAAATATGAATTTACATTTAACTAGTCTTTAAGGTTCAAATATAAATTGAAAATATTTATTTTTACAAAAATTTGTTTTGTTAATTTTAATGTTCATAAAATTTTGTTTTCAGTTTAATTATTAAACTAAGAGTCTTTTTAAACACATGAATGAAATAAACAAAAAACAAGTTTTTAATCCATTTACATCCTAATTAAAGAACAAATTTTGAAAAATAATTTAGTCTTTTAAAAATAATGTATGTCATAAAAAGTTTGTGCAGATTATAAGAATTTAAAATACAACCAACTTCTAAACATAATTGAGACTTGACTTCACCAAAATACTAATCTTACAAATTTTATAAATTTCATGAAAAATTTCATCGATCATAAATTTCAAGATTTGAAACTTTCTAAACAAAAGTTTCCAATTGAAAGTTTTAACGGCACTTTGCTAAATTTGGTGTAAATTCATCATTAAAAGATAAAAGAAAAAAATAGGGGAAAATTTCCAAATAAGGTACGTTTAGGGGCCAAAATTAAAAATGGAGACTTTTAGAGAAATAAGGGACAAACTGTCAAGCCTGCATTATGGCTTTGTAATTAAATAAATAAATAAATTTTCCAAAGTCTCTATTTAAGGGCATTTGAACCATTATGACTTTGTTTCAGTCCCTTTTTTTTAAAATGTTTAGGTAGAAATTTTTAAAGTCCTTTAACAATAGTTTAAAATGTAGGTTATGTCAACAAACCATCATTAACCGTTTGGAAGTAGAATTAAAAATAGGTTAACCAAATTTTCAATGAAATTCCCGTTAAGTTTCAAACTTATATATTGCAACCCCTGCTTTAACAATAGATCCCTAGGTCCATTGTTGTATATGGGTTTTTAATTTTATGACTTTAAAGATTAGTAATTAATTAACAAAGAAATATGCGTATTGAATTTTATGACGACTATAGGCAATAAAATTGAACTTTTGCGACCCCTTTTTCCAGGTAATTTTTCTCAGTCTAATTGGGAATAAAGAAGAACTTTCCAGCTCCATTAGGACTAAAGTTATAGTTTTTTTTTAAAATAACCTGTCTTTATTTACTTTAAATAAGCATTAAATTTTAAAATAGAAATTTCTCATCACCAAGGAATATTATTTATAAATACCATTTTAATTATTGATTTAAGAATTAAATTATAAGTTTTCTAACTCTAACATTTAAATATGTTATTTAATTAAAATCCCCTGAAAATAAGAATTTTCAAAAAAAAAAAAAAAAAAAAAAAAAAAAAAAAATTTTCAATTTATCGAAAGTAAATAAAAAAATGTTTTTATAATACAAACCGGAACAATTTTTGATGAAGAAGATATGCAGTAATATGACCGGCGTCAATGTAACGAACTTCAGCCCCTGGCCATATCTCCTCTAGACTCATACATCCATCCCGTGGAACGTAAGCGTCATCTCTCGCACAAACGGCAATTATCAATTCAGTATCAACTGGTAATTCAAAATTCTTCAAGTGCGTGCATTCGTCCATTATTCCTCTCATGAATTGATAAGCCTCATGCTCTCGCCACTTGCTGTCTGAAAATAGGGGATGTTTCGCAACTGGTAAAAGGCACACACCTGAATTGCAAAATTAAAATTTCATCTTCAAATATGCATGCAATAATGTGATGTTTCCGATTCAAGACATGAATTTAATTAATTTTATTATTATTATTATTAATTCAAATATATCAAAGAGCGTAATATTGGCAGTCATAAAAAAAAACTTGCCCTTCAAAGCGTCGGCATCAGCGTTTTTAAATCTATTAGAAATTAGATTTAAAGGAAATAATTTCGCTGCGGCTTTTTCTTCGGCAATTTGGTATTTTTGTGCTTTATTGTTGTTTTTGACTGGAGCAGAATTTCCATTTGATGTTTCATTGATACTTTTAGTCGTCTTTATTTCTGCATTAGTAGTTTTCGATTCGTTTCTTATTCGAGTTATTCTTGCCATACTGGCTGGATAGTGTTTTGCGAAATGTTGTCCTGCCAAGAAGGCATCCTGTCGGAATGGCAAATTGAAATAATAAAACGAATAATTATAAATAAGGATTGAAATATAGTTGATTTTCATTAGATGTGTGCAACGTTTCGGTGTCTTGATTTGACACCATCGTCAGACCACTTTATTAAACAATGAAAATTTTTTATAAACAATTATTAATTTACAAATAAAAGAAAATTAAGATTTTTACACAAACAAAACAAATAAAACTAAATTAACATCTACCTGGTGATTTTAAAAAATATAAATTATTTAAATAAATAATTTGTTACATTTGTAGCGCGTCTCGAATAAAATAAAATAAAAATGTCCGAAAATTAAAACTAAAATCAAAAGAACACAATTTTGCACTTTATATAAATAAACAGATTATTTTACACGTCATTTTCATATTTGGAATCTACTTGTTTTTTTAATTTTTTGTTCCAATTCCAATTCCAACTTCTGCGAAGTTGCTAACAAAAAAATAAAATTCAACATTATTAAAAAAAAGAAAACTAGAAATTGAGCTTTATTAGAAAAAAAAATTTTAATAATCAATCTTTATTAGAAAAAAAAATTTTTGAAATCGAACTTTATTAGAAAAAAAAAATTTAGAAATCGAACTTTATTAGAAGAAAAAAAAATTTAGAAATCGAACTTTATTAGAAAAATAAAAATTTAGAAACAAAAAATTATAAATTTTTTTTAGAAAAACAGTAGGCCCAACCATTTTACGAAATTTCAAATAATCACAAATTCTCTTATTAGAAAATAAAAACTTCAAATAATTGATATAAAAAAAATCCAATTAATCTTTTTCAACAAAATTAATTTTAAAATTCAATTATTTCTAAAAATTCACGCTACATTGCTTTTAATATTCAATTATTATCTAAAATTTTAACTGAAATTTATTTTCAAATCAATTTTTATAGAAAAATTCTACAAGAATTCAATTATTTAAATACAAAAATAAATTATTATCTATAATTTTAACTGAAATTCATTTTTAAATCAATTTTTTATTGAAAAATTCAACGAGAATTCAATTATTCAAATGCAAAAATAATTTATTGAATTATTTCTTAAAATTGAATTCTCATAAATCACTGCCCGTAAAAATGTAACAAATATATAAAGAATTTTACCAAACCAAATTTTTAAATTGATGACGAATTTTAATAAAATTTTGAAGAATTATTATTCTTCAAAACTTTTTTTTTTTTTTTTTTTTTTTTTTTTTTTTTTTTTTTATTATTTTATTTATTTATTTTTTTTAATTCGAAGAATTCGATTAAAATTGTATTAAAAATAATTGAAATTCTGCAATGAGTTTTATTATTTATGAAAATAATTGAAATCCTAAAAAGAATTTTATTATTTTACGAAAATAATTAAGGGGCTAGATGCTATAAGGGGATACGCGCAATGTTAAGTGAATGGCGCTTATTCCCTTATAGCATCCAACTCCTCAATTGAATCCCAGTAAAAATTTTATTATTTATGAAATTAAAAAAATTGAATTATTGCGAATTGATAAAAAAAAATTTTGTAAATAATTGAATACCTGTGAAATGTTTTTTATTTTAAATAGTAAAAATTTTCAAAAATAATTAGATTCTTTTCGAAAAATTTTATAAAACTAGTAGAGATATTGAAAAACATTGAAATGAGGAACATTTTTGAAAATAATTGAAATTTTGTCAAGAATTTTTAAAAAATTTTTGAAAATAATAGAATTTTATTATTTATAGAGATAATTGAAATTTTGACGAGAATTTTAAGGGGAGACCCCCACCTTTATTTTGACCCCTTTAAAATAAAATTCTTAAACGAGGTAATATTTTTTTTCCTGCATCATTTTTAACCTGAAAACATTATAAGATGGTCGAAAATATTTAATTTTAATTTTTGAAGAGGTTAGAATTTTTTTCTTCTGACCTATTGCATATTATTGCAAATCCATGCGAGAAATTGTTTAGAATAGTTAATAATATGCATGGAAAAAAATTTTCGTTGAAAAATATTAAAAACTGTAAGAGAAGATCAATTTTTAATATTCAAATCTTTAACTTTTGCCGAAATTTCGAAAGCCTTAAATCTTTAATTTTTTTCCAAATTGTGTATATTTACGTAATTTGATGCTATTATTGAAAAAACATTGTTAAAATTGACATTTAACTCATTTTCGTGGTAAAAACCATAAAAATCATAGTTTGAAGCTTTTATGGTATACTTTAAATTATTTTATTTAATTTTTTTTTATTGTATTTTTTTTTACCGAAATAAATGCAAAAAGCCATGATTTTTATAGTTTTTACCATGAAAATGAGCTAATCGTCAATTTTAACTATGTTTTTTCGATTCAGAGCATCAAATTGGAAAAAAATAAAGGTTCAGGACTTCCGAAATTTCGGCAAAATTTAATGATTTGAATATTAAAAATCGATCTTCTCTTACAGTTTTTAATATTTTTTAACGAAATTTTTTTTCCATGCATATTTTACCATTCTAAACAACTTCTCGCATGGATTTGCAATAATATGCAATAGGTCAGTAGAAAAAAATTCTAACCTCTTCAAAAATTAAAATTAAATATTTTTGACCATCTTATGTTTTCAGGTTAAAAATGATGGAAAAAAAATCGTTTGGTAATTTTATTTTAAAGGAATATTATGTATTTTAAAAAGAAATTGATTTATTTTACGAAAATAATTTTTTCAATTTTTTTGTTTTTGTTTCTTAATTCTTTTTTTCAAAACTATGTTTTGATTCACCGATGTTATAATCTTTAAAGATCTTTGACAATTGTGAGTAATTGTCATTAAAAGGAATGCAAATTTTTGGAATACGACTGTAAATAGCCGATTTTTCATTATTTTGATTTTTGTTAAGTGCAGTGTATTCATTGTTTAATAAAGTGTCCTGATGATGGTGGCAAATCAAGATTAAAAAAGCCAATCGACTCACGTCTTGATCAATAACCTTGACCATTTTTGCTAAATCATTTTGATAAATTTCATTGGAAAAATATTGATTCTCGAGTAAGGCCCAATTTATCGAAGCGCTCATTACGCCCTCTGTGAAAACTGGCGATGCCGTCGACCATGAGAGACACGGGACTAGGACAATTGGTTTTGGCCAATTTGTCGCTGCCAATGAAGCCATCTAATTTTTATAGAAGAAAATCATTCAACAATTTTTTCCAACTTTTCTAAACCATATATTATAAATCTGAAAGTTATTTTTATATGAAATTCCACCGTTCAAAATGGACTTTCAGATAGAAATTTTGATTTTCACTTTTTTTTTTTACTTTTCAAATTTTTATGCGAATAAATAAATTACTAACGTGACCACCCATTGAAAGACCTGTTAATCCAAGAGGACTATATCCATGCTGCTCGCACCAATTCAATAACACTATTGATTCCAATATTAAACAGCCTCCCATTATAAAGATATCAGAGACATTATGTAAACTGGAACGACTATAAAAGACAAAACATTTGTTAGCAAAAAAAAAAAAAAAGATTTTTACTCAAAAATAATTAACATAAAAATAAATTTTTTAAAAAAATGCAATAAAACTTGAAAAGAACTCGAATTCTGAAAAAATGAGATTATTATTAGAAAATTTTTTTTTTTTATACAAATGAAACTATCGAAAATCTTACACTTGATCTTTAGGTTTTCGTAAACCGTAGAAAGGATTCTCCAACAAAATAGATCCAATTCCCGATTCTTTGAGCAGTGGTTTAGCAATTAAATTTCTCCTACGCCAAAAAAACTATAAATTTTCAAATTAATGAAATCATTCAAATTTGTGAAATTTTAAGAATTCTGCTGTTAGTAAAAAGTTATTAAGTCGCATATGCCGTATACGGCATATGCGACTTACTAACTTTTTACTAACAGCAGAATTTTTCGGACAAATTTTTTTAAATATTCACTTTTTTAAATCTTACTTTTAGATTGATAAAATATAGAATACTAAATAAATTCTTCTTAATATTTTATGATAAAAAATTTTCTATATATTTAAATGTTATTTTTCAGATCGGATATATGCTGATATGTATTTAAGGTTTGTTTTCAGAGAAATAATAAAATAAATATTAAAAAAATATTGTGAAAAATGAGAAATTTCGAGATATTTTTTACTGACATGATCACCAGTGCCAGCAAGATGCAGACAAATGGGTTTAATTTTATGTGATGTCCACTTCTTTGGTAATATCATTTGAAAATGAGCTGTTTTTGTCTCCTCTGGCATTATTCCCGGTAAATGATAATCGAATGGTGATTGAAAGTGACCTTCCAATACATGACAATCGGACCATTCTTCGTCCTGCAAAATTCGAAGCAGAAATTAAATTCAAATATATAAATTCAAATTTTAATGAAATTTATTATATCAAAGAATTTTATAACAATTTTTGAAAATAATTGAAAACTTTTAGAAGAATTTTATTCAATTTTTTTTTTTAAATAATTGAATTCCTGAGAAGAATTTTAAATAATAATTTTTGAAAATAAATTCATGAGAAGAATTTTATTTAAATTTTTGAAAATAATTGATTTCTTGAGAATTTTTTAAAAAATTGAATTTTCATGAAAAATTTTATTTTTAATGAAAGTAATTGAATTATTGTGAAATATAAATTGCATAAAATTTTGTTAAATAATTGATTTTTTCGAATTTTTTTTGAAAATTAGCGAAAATTAAAAGTAGTGGAAATTCTCTTAAAAAAATATTATTTATATTCTTTGTTCAGAAAGTTGAATATATAATAATTTTTTTACCTTCTCTATTTTGTTCAGAATAATTAAAATTTTCGTAATGAAGATTATTTTTAATTTAGATATCAAATAACAATTTTTGCGAAATTCAATTTTCCTCGTACAAGAAAATTTAATTATTTTCAATTTTGAAAATCTGATGTCAAATTTGAATTTGAGTTTTTTTTTTTAATAATAATTGCATTTTTCAAGGAATTTATTTTAAATTGTATTAAAAATATTTGAAATTCTGCGATGAAAATAATTGAATTCGTAAATGAAATTTTATTATTTATGAAAATAATAAAATTGAATCTTTTCGTAGAATTATTGTATCAAAAAAAGTTTTTTCTATAATTAAATCTGTTGATAAATTTTATGAAAATAGTAAATATTGAAAATTATTGAATTGCAAAATACTTTTAAAAGTAATTGAACTTTTGCAAAGATTTTTAGAAATTTTTCCAAAAAATAATTGAATTTTTGGCGAAAAATTTTGCTATTTGTAAAGATAATTGAATTCTTGACGAGATATTCGTGAAAATTTTTAAAAATAATTGAATTTCTTCGAAGAATTTTATTACTTTTGAAAATAATTGAATTCTTGGGATGAATATTGCAATTTATGAAAATAATTGAATTTTGTAAAGAATTTTATTAAAATTCCTAAAAATTATTATTATTATTTACTGACCTTAGTAATGTTTACAGGATAATTAGAAGGTATTAAATTATAGCAAGCCTCTCGATTGGCCACGACTTTCCGAAATTCGAATATCCTGTGAGAAAAAATTTATTTTTAATTTCATTTTTCAGAAATACAGTCAACAAATGAGAAACAAAAATATATAAAATTTTTGCTGTGAAAATGAATTTCAATAAATAAATGTAATAAACAATGTATATTTTAACAACAAGAATTTACAATATTCATATAAAATATTTTTAAAAAAAACATAATTTGGTTATGAAAATTAAACAAAATTCGTAATATTTTAAATATTTGGGAATGGCAACAAGTTGTTGCTCGTAAAAATATTTACGCATTCAAAAAGATAAGGCACAATTGAAAAAGAATGTAACTAAAAATAATATTCTTTGTATTATAATTAAAAAAATTTCTGTAAGTCCCCTATTATATAATAACTGTCTCATTTTTCTTTATTTATATTTCAAGGATCATTTAAAGTGACAGAAACAAAAAGACAATATATATAAGAAATCCACTTTTTTCTCATAATTTTCCTCTATATATGTAAAAATATGCAAGAAAAAATTTTCATTAATAATTTCCCTAAAATTATCTTTAAATTAAATTGCAAACGTTTAAATAAATATGGATGAAATGATAATTTTTATTGTATACATATAATGAGAATGATAATTTTAAGGTTAGATTACCTTCGTAAATTTTCCGGATTGCCCCAACCTTTTGTGAAAAATTTCGTGAGTAAAATACTTCTGTAGACGGCATCAAGACGACTTGGGGGCATTCTATTGTTAATGAAAATTTGTAATTTATCACAGTGCAGTTCATTAATGTTGTTAAAATAACTGCAAAAATGCCCCCGGCGAGAATATACGCTTATAGAGAAACTTGTTACATTGTGCCTAATAGGACACTTTGAAGTCGAGGCGACCTTGACATTTCATTATATTGATAATAAAAGCATCGTGTATACTGTTTATTTTTCATTGCGCTTTGAGTATGGAATTTTTTTTTATTCAAAAACGAACGATTATGAAAAAAAGTTAATTTTATGATTTTTTATAACCAAAAATTTTTTTTAATTCTTTTTTTTTTGCAAAACAAAAATATTTTTGATACAACTGCGCACGAAGGTGCGCAAGTGATTGTTTAAAGTTATTTTTGTTTGATAAGCGAGTGCGATGTACTTTGTTATGTGAAAATTATTAAATTAATTTATTCAACAAAATTAGAAAAATTATGTGAAATGTCAGGGAAACAAAATTTTTGTCAGTAAAGTCAGGAAAAGAAATTTTTATCAGGGAAATTAAGAAAATTGACACTTTTTTCGACTTATTTTCAAAAATTGCGACTATTTTACGACTTTTCTTCCAAACATTAAATTGCAACAAATACCACAATTTTTATAGTAAAAAAGTGCAACTTATTTTAATTTTTATAATTCGAAAAATAACTAAAAACAAATCTTTCAAAAATTGTTTTTAAAGCATTTTTCAAGTTAATTAAATTTTTCAAATATATATATATATAAATCTTTTTGAATAATGCAAATTTTGTACAATTTAATTGAAAATAATTAATTTTTTTTTTTTAAGTATTTTGTTACAATTTTTGAAAATCAACTTTTGAAGAATTTTTATTGCTAATTTTGAAAAGAATTGAATTATCAAAAATATGTTGATAAAAAATATTTAGATGTAAATTTAAAAATGAAAATTATGTTCTAGTTTTTTAAAATTCAATATTTTATAAATATTTTCAACGAAAATTCAAATATATACAAAAAATAATAATATTTTAGAATTATTTTTTAAATATTTTGGTGAAAAAAATTATGTTTAAAATTTTTCAATTAAAATTCATCAAAAAAATAATTAGTTTCTTTTTAAAAATTATACAGAAATTCAATTATTTTTAAAAAATTACATAAATATATTTTTAAAAACTAATTATTAGTGTAATAATTTTTTTAAAATTCAATTATCTTCGAACAATGTTAATAAAAATTTAAGAAAATTTACTTTTTGGATTTATTAAAATTTTTCAGAAATCATGGTCTTGTTTATAATTAAAATTCTTCAAAAATTGTGATGTATTTTATTTATATTTTTCAAAAATTTTAATTATTTTTAAAAAATAAAACCAAATTTTAAATGTTTTGGAAATTTTTCAAAATTTAAAAACTATTATCTTTCAAAAATTATTTAAAAATAACTTAAGAAGAAACTATGGAGAGTTACAATTTATCATAAAAAATTGAGTTTTTGTATTTAAATAATTGAATTCTAGAAGAACTTTTGGAAAATTATTTAAATTAATTGATTCAGAGATGAAGTTAAGTTTTGTTAAAAATTGGAGAAAATAATTTAAATTCAGAAAAAAAATTATTTTAATTTTGTATATTTTTTTATAGATTTTCCCTTCGGAGGAAATCATTTAAATTTCGAAACGTTGGAGTAAATATATTTTAATCATTGTCCAAATATTTTCCTCTTATTTACCTTGTTTTATAAAAAAAAATCTCGAACTTATAAAGATTAACTAATTTATTTATTATTTATACCTTTTTACAATGTTAAGAAAACATTTTTCCATTAAATTCTCATTCTATTTGTTGTTTTTTTACAATTTTATTAAACTTTTTGTTTTCGTTTGCGATTCTATTACATAATTTTGAAGAATCCAAAGACATACGCAAATTTACCAAAAGTCGGAGAGCAAAAAAAAAATAATAATAAAACAACGCTTTTTGTTTTGCACAAAATATATTTATTATCTCTGAGAAAATCAATGATATAATTTCCAAACATTTTTTTTTTTTCATTTTGTGCGAAATTTCTTCAAGCTTTGTAGGAAATTTTCTTCAAAGATTGGGAAATAAAATTAAATAACAAATAGAAGAGAAGCTTTCATTTCTTTTATGCAAATGTGCAATAATTTCCATTTTTTTACGTTTGTTAAATTTTAATTGTTTTCGTGGACTTTTTTTTTCAAATCTCGCATTATGGCAGTGATGGTAAATTGTTAAAAAAAATTTATTTTCTTACAAATCACCATTTATCGATAACTTATTTTTCTAAACAAAATGACAATTATTTGAAGCGTACTTGCAAATTATAAAATTCGCATATAAACTAAAAAATTTTGTTTCAAAAAATAATTTGAAATAAAAGAAGAAAAAACTTATTAAAATCGTATATCAATGAATCGCTTTAAATAATTTGAATTTTTAAATTTCGGTGTTTGAAATAATAAACAATTTCAAAATTAAGGAGAATTATAAACATAGAGTAGGAGGAGGGAGATAATTTCGCATTTAAAAATTAGATAATTCGTTTGAGTATAGACCACGGTAAATCCATTGTTTGATCGTCAATGAGAACAACATCAAAAACGTCCATATAATCTTTTAAACTCTTTTCCACAATTTCATTATTTTCGTGATAAAGAAAGCCTATTTTAAAGACATTGTCAACATCTTTGATCCCGTTGCACATTGTCGTATCACCGACACTGTCTCCCATTAATATGATATTTTTCCTATTTTCCAATCGTTTTAAATGTTCTTTTTCTAAAACGGTTTCATTTTTATTAAAAACGTGAATCTTCTTCCCTTTGAAACCGTCTAATGTTTTTCCCGAATAATTGAGAAAATTTGAAATAATCTCCACATTATCCAGAAGTACGTTATTATGTCTTAAAATTGCCTCGACAACATCACCAAGACCGGCGCTAAATACCAAAACTGGAATTTTAGCTGAATTTAATTTATCCATTAAATTCTTTGTTCCTTCACGTAAATCGGTTCCATATTTTTCCGCAACCTGCTCCAATTCAGAGGAATCAAATTCGTAACCCTTTAAGAATTCTTCGCTTATCTCCATCCACTCCTCCATGGCTGCTGTCTTATCCTTAATTGAAATATGCGGATCCGTCTCTATTGGTCTATATTTTTTATGGGTTCGCGTGTCCATTTCCGCGTACTGTGGAGGGAGTTGTTTGCATTTTGCGAAGATTCCTGAAATTCAATTTTGTTTTTAATTTAATGAATATAAATTGCATTTCAATTTTAATAAATCCTTATCGAAAAAATTTAATTATTTTTATAAATAGTGAAATTCTTCGCAAGAATTCACCTAATTTAAAAAATAGTAAAATTCTTTGCAGGAATTCAATATTATTTACAAAAACAATTTTAATTGAATTCCTTGGATGAATTTAAATATTTTAAAAATATTTCCATAAATTTCAATTATTTCCTAAAATTTTAATTAATAAATTCATCGAAACAAATTCAACTATTTTTTATAAATATACTAAAATTCTTTGTTGGAATTAAATTATTTTAAATCCAATTTAAATAAAATTACACGAAAGAATTTGATTATTTTCAAAAATTTCCACAAAAATTCAATTTCAAAAAGAATTTAAAATTCTCTAAAAAATAATTCAATTATTCTCGGAATATTTTTAAAAAATTTGATATAAAAATTAAATTACCTTCAATGCAATTTTTAAATATATATTCGTCAAAAAAAAAAAAATTGAAAGAATTCAATTATTTTCAAAACATAATAAAATTCTTGTAATGAATTCAATTATTTTGAATATAATTAATTTTAATAAAATTCTTTAAAGAAATTCAATTACTTTTCGAAACAACTTTAATTGAATTTCTCGAAAAAATTTAATTATTTTTTTTAGATTTCTATAAAATTCTTCGAAACATTTGAATTATTTTAATAAATAGTAAAATTCTTCGCAATAATTCAATTATTTTTATAAATATAGTAAAATCCTTTGCAAAAATTCAATTTTTTTCAAAACAGTTTTAATAGAATTCCTCGAAAGTATTTAAATTTTCTAATATATTAACATAAAATTCATTTATATTCTAAAATTTTAATGAATTCTTCGAAACAATTCAATTATTTTCCTAAATAATAAAATTCTTTGAAAGAATTCTATTATCAAATTTTTTTAAAATTCTTCTATATTCAATTATTTAAATAAAAAAATAAATAGTTTATTGAATAATTGAATCTTTCTTAAAATTGAATTCTCATAAAGAATTTTATCCATAAATTTTTAAATAATTGAATTCTTTCGACGAATTTTAATAAAAATTTTTAAGAATAATTACCTACATTTTTCGAGAAATTTGCTTAAAATTGTTTTTAAAATAATTGAAATTCTGCGATAAGTTTTATTATTTGTGAAAATAATTGAATGGCTAAGAAGAATTTTATTATTTTTGAACAATATTTAATTTTTGCGAAGTTCTTTGAAAATTTTTAAATCAATTTTTATTAGAAAATTTTACTATAGAATTTAAATATTTGAATACAAAAAAAATTTATTAAATAATTGAATGTTTCTTAAAATTAAATTCCCATTAAGAATTTTATCAACAAATTTTTAAATAATTGAATTCTTTCGACGAATTTTAATAAAATTTTTAAGAATAATTACATTTTATTATTTACGAAAATTATTGAATCCCTGTAAATATTTTATTGTTCATGAAAATAATTGAATAATTGCAAAGAAATTTATAAAAAATTTTTCAAATAATTGAGTTCCTGTGAAATTTTTATTATTTTATGAAAATAATTAAAGGTTTGCGTAGAATTTTATTAAATTTTGTTTAAATAATTAAATTTTTTCGGAAAGTTTTATTAAAACAGATAGTGAAAATCACTTATTATTTTTTTAAATAATTGAATTCTAGTGAACAATTTTATTATAATCCTTTTAAATAATTGATTTAATTTCTAAAAATGTTATGAAAATTGTGTTTTAAAATATGTAAATTCCTAGAGATGAAAAGAATAAATTGAATTCCTAAAAACAATTTTATTTTTTACGAATATAATTGAATCCCTGAAAAATTTTATTATTTATGAAAATAATTGAATTAATGTGACGAAATATATAAATAATATTGAATTCTTGTAAAATTTTTATTATTTTATGAAAATAATTAAATATTTGCCTGGAATTTTACTAACATTTTTTTTAAAAATAGTAGATAATAAAAATTATTTAATTGAATTGAATTTTTGTAATATATATTTAACTATAGTTAACTATAGTCAAAAATAAAATTTTAATTTATCTGCTCACTTTTCTAAAAATAAAAATTTTTGAAAATGCAGTAACGCACTGTTTTGAAAAAAAATTCTACATGACAGGTTTTTTTTTTCTTTTAAAGCAATGGTTAAAAATACTCAGCATTCAACAATCTAAAATTAAGAAAAATTGAGGTTATGATGAACACCTTTTTTTTTTTTTTGCTTTTGGTAGAAACTAAGTTGAGATGAAAATATTTTTTAAATATATGACTGTTTTATAAACTTATTTCCAAGATAAGTAAGTTAAAAAATTAAAATAATAAATAATTTTCCTTTTATACTACATTTTTTTTTTTTTTTTTTTTTTTTTTTTAAATAATATAATTTACCCAAAAGAAAAACTAAATTATCATTTCATTGGAAAAAGAAAATTACATGTTTAAAAATACATATTTTTTATATTCAAAAATAAACGATTAATCTATAGCGATATAGTTATAATTATTGATAATCATTATTCTGTTTTTTACTGTTGCAATTTTCCCGTAGTTTATTATTAAGGATGAAAATAGTCGCGTACATACAATAAATATTATCAAATCGCTGATATCGAGAAACTGAGAACGCATTAAATACTAGTGCTATTAATCAAGTTACATAAATGTGAAGGTCAAAGTTTTGTGTAAATTTCACAAATTTCTTTATAATGTTTTTTTTTTGAGTACTTTCTTTAATATTGTAATAATAAATAAAAATGTTGGAGGCATAAAAAATAAATTACTAACTAAAAATAATTTTCAAAAAAAAAAAAACCAAAAAAATTGTTATTTCGTTTTGTTTTGAAAAAGAATGAATATAAATTAGAGAATTAATTAGAAAAACCTTGAGGTAAAAAAAGTGCGGTCATCTATCGCGGTTGAATATTAACCACAAAAATACCAGTTTTTATTTGCTTTTCGAAGTCAACTTTACATAATTAAGTATCTGAAAATAATACCTATACCTATATTATATTTATGATATTACAAAGTAGAATCTTTGAAAAGAAAGAAAAAATTTGTAATTCTCAATCTTAACTGATATTGACAATAAAAAAATCTAAAATTTTATTTAATTTTTCTAACTTTCCAGGGTTGCCACTCGCAAAATGATTTTAAATACACAAAAAATTGTTTTACGAATTTCTTTAATTGTTAAATTATTCGAAAATATCAAAAACTTCATTTTTAAATAAATATTTAATAATTATTATTTTTTTTCATAGAAATTAAGACTTTCAAAAATTTCAAATTCAATAACATAAAAATATTATTATAAAACATAAAGATAATTATTATAATCAAATATAATAATAAATAATATTAATAAACTATACTAAAAAGTTTTCAAATTTATTTTTTGGAAGGGGGGGGGGGGGGTGGGTGGGTGGAAATTTAAAAAATAAAAATTCCGTAATTACCAAAACTGCTCAAATGAGCTTTCCCATCAACGTGTTGCTTCGTCAGAGTTAAATCAAAATCCGTGACAACCTAAAAGTAAATTACTTCTTTATATAGGATTCAAAAATACATTTGAGATTATTATAAAATTTATATTTCTATAATTTACGGGGGGTGAAGTTCACAACGTTTAATAACAAAAATTGTAAGACAAATAAATTTTTTTTTTTTATCAAAATACAATATTTTAAGCCAACGAAGTTGTTGATGAAGAAACAATATAAATTTTTTTGAATAGAAAAATATTTCTTTGAAAATTATTATAATTCTTGTGAACTTCACCCAACGTGCATATTTTATAAAATTGATAAACTAAACGTAAGTTACCTTTTTCTTGTGTAAATGATTTTAGATTTAAAAATAATAAAGTATAATGTTATTATGCTGTAAAAAGCTAGAAATGATGGAAAAAAATTAAAAATAAATATTATTTTCCTTTGTTTGTATTTTTAAATAAATTAACGTGGATTATTTTTTTTTCTGATAATTATCTATCGAAAGCGTGATTTTTTATTTTTGAATAATAATACGAAAGATAAAAATTTACAGAAAGATAAAAAGTATTTACATACTTTTTTATTTATTTGTAAATTCATAAAAAAAAAATGCTGAATAAGAATAATTTATTTAAATTTTTCTTTAAATAATAATAAAAGAAAATTGCGCTTTGATTCCTCGAGGGCAATTTTTAATAAACAATGTTAGAAATATTTTTCTCGATTATAACATTTTTTTTATAACAAATGATATTTTTTGTAAAAACCGCAATATTTATTACTTAACGAATGTAAAGTAGTTGAGAGACTTTCCATTTTAAAGGCTTTAAATTACAAAAAAAAATATATATTTTTCTTTAAAAATGTTACTTTCTTCAAGAATAACTAGAAATTTTTATAAAGATAATTGAATTCTTGACGAGATATACGTTAAAATTTTTGAAAATAATTGAATTTCTTCGAAATATTTTTTATTACTTTTGAAAATAATTGAATGCTTGTGATGAATATTGTTATTTCTGCAAATAATTATTAAATTTTATAAAGGATTTTATTAAAAATTCTTAAAAATAATTGAATATCTGAGAAGAATTTTTTATTTATCAAGATAATTGCGTGAAAACTTTTGAAATAATTAAATAATAAATATATTAAAAAATTCATTCTTGCAAAAATAGAAAAAAATTTTTTCAAGGTTTTGTATTAAAATTTGTGGTAGTTTCATAGTTTATTAGTCAAACAAAAAAATACAACAAAAATTCAGAATTTTCTTATGAATTCTAAAAATTTAATTTTTACCAGTACTTTTAATAAAAAAATCCCTAACTGTTCTCTAAATTTGAATTAGTTTAAAATAATTAATTTGATATAGTAAAAAATCAGTCACTGATTCAAATAATATAGTATTGTAAATAAATTTTAAAAAAATTTAGAAATTTTGTGAAATTCAACTGAAAATAATTAAATTTGTTAAAGAATTTATTTCATTAAAAACTTTTTAACAAATCGAATTTTCAAAGTATTTTAATTTAATAATTGATAAATAATTGAATTTTATAAAGAATCACATTCTAATGTTGTCATTTTTATTAGTGCGAAGATTAATAATTAAAATTTTTATTAGTTAATTTTTTTTTTAAATTTGACAACAACGACCTCTTGCTAATTGTCTTTGAAACTATCACTGTCTCTATAAATGTATAGTGCGACAAAAATACAGTGTAAATTTTGCAATAAACTGTCATTAGCGCCTTCGTCACTAGCAAACATTTATATATATATATAGATAATATAAAATTCTAAATATGATATTCGCCAAATTCAATTTTAACAAGTGATTTAAAAATAAAGTAAACTTTTCCTACAAACCTGTAATTTTTCAGGTCCATCACGAATAATGTTGTTTATTTTCCTAAGTACGACATCTTTGTCTCTATATTTCACACTGGATATCCTATTTAAAATTGGAAACTGAAAAAAATTAAACATGAACGATTTTTTTCTCTTTTAATTTCACTGACACGTCGAATTTTCGAACGCGCGCGTACTACTTACATCGTCCAAGGTCAATTTATTTGGCATTATGCACAGAAAATTGACAAATTTAAAGATGATTGTATGAATGGAAAATAATGTGTTTATATCTATATTATATAGATTCTTAAAAAAGAAATCAGAAATCAGAATGGAACTGGAGTTTCTTATAATAGAGAATTTTTATGATGAACAAAAATTTACATATATAGACAAAACAAAATTTGGGTTTTGCTTCTACAACGAATTTTTTTTTAAAGGGATAAATGACAAACCGGTCCTTCTAGCAAGAAAGCATGAGAACGTGTGGTCTGCGTGTTTTTATTTGTCACTGATTAGATTTTTAAATATATATATATGTTTAAGAGAACTGCATGTATATCATTCTCCTTTCCTTTTTCTTTTCCTACTCTCTAAACAGACTTTGTGAGCCAACACAACCAACTTGAGCCGAGAATATCGAATTGAAGAACGACAAAAGTCGAAGATGCTCGAAGCAGAGTTGTGTCATTGAAAATGGAAAATATATAGTAAGGGAACGGTTAACAAACTTAGGGTTATCGCAGCGATAAGGAGTTAAAATTTCCTCCAGATTCATTGATGGCGCTGCGGCTATTCGATTGAACATTGAAATCTGGCTTCCGACGTGAATTTTAATAAAATTTTTAAGAATAATTACATTTCTCGAGGAATTCGATTAAAATTGTATTAAAAATAATTGAAATTCTGCATCGAGTTTTATTATTTTTGAAAATAATTGAATTTCTGCGAAGAATTTTATTACTTTTGAAAATAATTGAAATTCAAAATGGCGGATCCAATATGGCGGACGAAAATTTAGAAAATTAACGGATTTCGGTATGAAATCAAGGGGTTTTTGGGGTCGTTGATTACGAATTTGAACTTAGTTTTTCAAAATTCAAAACGTTGAATTTATTAAACAACTTTAAACTTAATACATAGTATATTATTAAAATACAATTTTTTATAATTATAATTATAATTATTTACACTTATATATCATAAAAATTAATGTTTTTTTTAAAGTAATTTATAAAACTTACTAAATTCTGTCATTTTGTTATCTTTTTAATAATAAAAAATGACAATTTGTTAAAATATTATTTGTATTCTTTGTGTAATATATGTAGTAATAAAGAAACTTCAATCTTATTTCTTATTAAAAAACATAAGTGCATGTGGATTGTGCAGAATGAAAAAAGGGATATTGAACGCATATATTAGGTTCGCCTTCAGATTTATGCCACTTCTGACTCACTGTTTTGAAGCAGAAAAAGAGACCTAGCTTGACCTACTCCTTTAATGTAGATTGCCTCTAAATCTGGTCTGCTCTCTGCTTTAAATATACATTAAATCAATCAAAACAAACATGTTTAAACATTTTACAAACAAGGGATATTTTTAATAGAAAAGATAGAGATATTTCCAAGAGAAAATAAACTTCAATAATATATATATATATATACATATACATACATACATTATAATAATCGTAAGTTTCCCTTTCCGTTAGCAAATTCTCTGCATTCATTTGTTTGTTTTGAAAAATTAATTTTTGTGAGTTATTGTCATTTTTTTTAATGTCAAAAACAACAACAAAAAAAAACTCATTTTATTCTCTTCACAAAATTGACAAAAATTCCATTCCATATTTTTTATTTTCCTGACTTTTTCCTAATTTTCATATTTATTAAATTTTTTTGAAAATAATTGAATTCCTAAGAAAACATTTTATTATTTATGCAAATAATTGAATTCTTGCGAACGATTTATTAGAATTTTTTAAAATAATAGAATTTCCAGGTTAAGAAATTTATTACTTTTAAAAATAATTGAATTAATTGTGATGAAGATTGTTATTTATGAAAATAATTGAATTTTGAAAAGAATTTTATTAAAGTACTTCAAAATAATTGAATTTTTGGAAGTAATTTTCTTATTTATCATTAATAAATTGAATTTTTTTGAAAAATTATTTGTGTAAATAATTGAATTCTTAGAAAAATTTTTATTAAAATTTAAAAAAATAATTGAATTATTTCAAAAAAATTTAATTAAAATTGTATTTAAAACAATTAATTTCTTTCGAATATTTTTATTAAATTTTTTAAAATAATTATTCAATCCTTCGAAAAATTTTTTTAAAAAACATTTTTTTAAATAATTGATTTTTTCGAGGAATTGAAATTAAGTTTTTAAGAATAATTAAATTTTTCTGAGCAATTCCTGTAAAATTGTATTAAAAATAATTGAAATCCTACTATAAATTTTATTATTTATGCAAAATAATTGAATTCTTGCGAACGATTTATTAGAATTTTTCAAAATAATGGAATTTCCAGGTTAAGAAATTTATTACTTTTAAAAATAATTGAATTAATTGTGATGAAGATTGTTATTTATGAAAATAATTGAATTTTGAAAAGAATTTTATTAAAGTACTTCAAAATAATTGAATTTTTGGAAGTAATTTTCTTATTTATCATTAATAAATTGAATTATTTGAAAAATTATTTGTGTAAATAATTGAATTCTTAGAAAAATTTTTATTAAAATTTAAAAAAATAATTGAATTATTTCAAAAAAATTTAATTAAAATTGTCTTTAAAACAATTAATTTCTTTCGAATATTTTTATTAAATTTTTGAAAATAATTATTCAATCCTTCGAAAAAATATTTTAAAAAACATTTTTTTAAATAATTGATTTTTTCGAGGAATTGAAATTAAGTTTTTAAGAATAATTACTTTTTTTAAGCAATTCCTGTAAAATTGTATTAAAAATAATTGAAATCCTGCTATGAATTTTTATTATTTATGCAAAATAATTGAATAGTTGTTAGGAATTTTATTATAATTCTCAAAAATAATTGAATTACAGAGAAGAATTTTATTTTTTTTTAAATATAATTGAATTATTGAGGAAAAGTTTATTAAAATGTTTAAAAAGAATTGAATCTCTGTGAAATATTTTATTATTTTTCAAAGTAATTGAATTCTTTCTAAGAATTTTATGAATATTGTTTAACATTTTTTTTTTAAATTAGCGAATTAAAATTAGTGGAAATTCTCTAAAAAAAAAAGTATTATTTATATTCTTTGTCCAGAAAGTTGAATTTTTTTACTTTCTCTATTCTTTAGAATAATTAAAATTTTCGTAATGAAGATTATTTTTAATTTTGATATCAAATAACAATTTTGGTGAAATTCAATTTTCCTCGTACAAGAAAGTTTAATTATTTTCAATTTTGAAAATCTGATGTCAAATTTGAAATTATTATCAAAATTTGTTAAAGTTTTTTTTATGTATACTTTAAAGTTTAAAAATATAATATAATTGGAAAATTCAATTCTAATTAGTTAGAAATAATTTTCTCAAATAATAGCTTCATCCTCTTTAACACTGCAAAAATTAAGTGACTACAAAGTTTACATAAACCATCTTATATTAAGATGTTTAGGTACCAAAAACATTTTATAAATAAGATGTTTTAAGTAACTTTGTAGTCACTTTTAAAATACTTCTTCTTCCAGTGAAGAAATATAAAATTTTATTAATATTTATTATTTATTTGGATAAACAAAAAATGATTGATTCTAATTTTAAAGAATTTTTTTTTTTACAGAATTTATCTTGAAGCTAGTGAAAAAAAAGAACCAAAATTGATAAATTAAGTCAGTTTTTTTCACAATAATTATATTATCGAGAAAAGGAAATAAGAGATGGATGATAATAATTCCAATGATGATGACAATGATTTCCACGTAGGATCATCTATGCTAGAGAGTCAACAATTCAATGATATCGAACGCGATACAATGAAAGGAGATACTGTTGGAGATACTGTTTACAGTTCTAAATGGATAATCAATACTCTCATTTCATTGTCTAAGGTGATTGTAATTACATTTGCAGAACATTCCAATCTTTTAATTGAATTGAAATTATGAAAATAATTTTTAATAAGTTACTGTAACAAATATATTTTTTTTAATATAAAATAATCATTTTATCACTCGGTCATCTTTAATTATTATTATTTATTATAAATTGTTGAATTTCAAAAAGATTTGAAATTGAATGTTTTGAAAATCTTAATTCCTATGAAAAAATAGAAATAATTAAATGTTTTATTTATAAAAGAATTTATTGATGTTTTCGAAAAATTTTACAATTAAATTCGTAAATATATCTAACAGAATATTTTCTTTAGTAAAATTTTTCCCTTTATTTTCTAAAAATTAAAAAAAATTTTATTTAATTTTCAATTAAAATTTGCAACTGACAAATAAAATTTATAAACATTTTCTCCTTTATTTAAAAAAAAAAACTTTGAATTATTAAAACAATTGTATTTAAGAAATAGAACTGATGAAAATTATTTTAAAATTAAAATTTTTTTTTATTTATTTATTTTTTATTTTATTTTTTAAAATTATTTCCTTAAATGAAAATTGAGAATTTTCTACAAAATATGTAAATGTTTTTCTTTTTTCGTAAAAGAAAAGAATGAGTTTGTGAATAATATTGTTATTGAAAAATAAAAATGATGCATTATGATTTGTTAATCATAATTTTTTTTTATTATAGTTAATAATTAATTTTAAACAAATATTAAAGGTACAAGAAGACGGCTGGTCTAATGACTTGGAAGAATCCTTATGTATGTTGTGGGACATGACCGGAGAAAAGGACATTGTCAAATTTCTGTTAGAGAATGATTTTCTAAAAATGGCAGAATTCACATTGAAAGTGTCTGGAGAGCCAAGATTAATGGTGAGCTAAAAAAGAAATTCAATTTAATCCCTAATTAAAAAAAAATAAAAAATTTTTAAAAAATAAAAAAAAATTTTTAAATAAAAAAAATTTTTTTAAAAATAAAAATATTTAAAAAAAATAAAATAACCCTTTCAATTTTTTAAGGAAATAATTTTTGGTATCCTGGGAAATATGTGTTGTAATAGCGAAGTACTAGAGAATCTCGAGAACAAAACAGAATTAATTGAAATAATTTTTTGTTCTCTAAATACTAACGATTCCGAGACACTTGTTCAAATAATACGAATATTACAAACTTTCACCTGGAGTATTAAACAAAATTCAAATTCAATTTGGCTGACAAAATTAAAAGACTGTGAATTTCTTGGCGAGTCGTTAATTTTTTTTCTCAACAGTTCAACGAAAGGTATGTATAAATATATAGTAAATAATTTTTAGCAGAAAATTTTATTGAAACTAATATTTTTAGACGATCTATTAATGGCTGTCTTGGAATTTGTTGGCTCAATAGCGCAATTAGAATCTAATGCCCTCAGGGATTTGTTTATTCTCGATAATTTAATTGTTGGCCTATTGGAATCTTTCTCGCAAATAATGCAAGGCCCAAATGAAAGTCATTCAACGGTGAAATTAAAGGCAATTGATAATTGGCTAACAATAATAACAAAAATAACCAAAATGGAACTATTACATTTCTCCGATGATGATGTTGATGGGAATTTTCAAAAATTCACCGAAATATTGTGGAAAATTTTACGTCCCTTCATTCATTCAGTTAATTTAATTCCATTGGATGATCAAATTTTTCACTGCATTCAACGTACTGTTAATATTGTACTAAGTTGTCAAAAAAATGAATTTCAAGTTGGCTCCGAAATAATATTGGTCATTCTTCAAATAATGAATGTTTTACATTCGGGTAACTATATCGAAACATTTGCTTATTAGACCAAAAATTAATTCACACTGTAAAGAAATTTTAGGGAGTTTCAAATTTTCAAATTCAATGACTTCTCCAGGTTTTCCAGATTAAAAAATACGGAATTTTTCCAGGTTTTCAAGAAAATTATTCGAAAACAACTTCATTTTTTAAATAAATATTTAATCATTATTTTCTTTACGGAAATTAGGATATTAAAAAAATTTGAAGTTCAATATATAAGAATACTATTATAATAAATAAAAAAAAAAAAAAAAAAATTCGTCGAAAGAATTCAATTATTTCTATAAATAGCAAAATTCTAAAAGAACAATTTAATTATTTTCAAAAGTTAATAAAATTCTTTGCAGAAATTCAATTAGCATCAACACATTTTAATAAAATTGAATTAATCAAATTTTCAATTTTAATTATGAACAGACAAGATTATTTTAAAATATTGAAAAAATTCTTTGTTTAATTCAATTATTTTGCAAATTTTTAATTAAAAGTATCAAAAAAACATTTGCAAAAAATTTTAAGAAACTCGTCAAAAGAATTTAATTATTCATAAAAACTCTAATAAAAAATGTTTGAAGACATTTGTAGATTTATTTATGTTCGAGATCAAATAAATTTAAATTTGATGAGAAAAAAAACAGGGAAAAATTAGGACAAAGCCGGGAATTTTGTTGAACGAAAATAGTAGATACACTGAAATTTTTTTTAAAATAATTTTTAAAAAAGTTCTTTGTAAATTTTCAAATACTTTTGTTTACAATTTAATTTTACGAAATTTCGATTATTTTGACATTCTTTCAATTAAATATATATTAGAAATTAAAAACTTTAAATAATTAAAAAAAATCCATTAAACTTATTGAGAAAAAGTAATTTTATAGAATTCTTAATTAAAAGTATGAAAAATTCAAATTTTCAAAGATTTTCATTTGAAATTCATTTTTAAATCAATATTTATTAGAAAATTCTACGAGAATTCAATTATTTGACTATAAAAATAAATATTTTATTAAACAATTGAATGTTTCTTAAAATTGAATTTTCATAAAGAATTTTATCAACAAATTTTTAAATAATTGAATTCTCTTGACAAATTTTAATAAAATTTTTAAAAATAATTGCATTTTTCGAGAAATTTGATAAAAATTGTATTAAAAAATAATTTAAATTCTGCCAAGAATTTTATAAAAAGTTTTGAAAATAATTTAATTTCGGAGAAAAATGTTATTATTTATAAAGACAATTAAAATTTTGACAAGAATTTTTGTAAATTTTTAAACATAATTGGATTTATGCAAAGAATTTTATTAAAATTATTTTGAAAAAATTGCATTGTTACGCAAAGAATTGCATTAATAAAATTTTTAAGAATAATAACTTTTTTCAAGGAATTCCATTAAAATTGTATTAAAAATAATTGAAATTCTGCCAAGAATTCTATAAAATTTTTTAAAAATAATTGAATCCCGGTAAAAAATATTATTATTTATGAAAATAATTGAATAATATATGAAAATAATTTGTAAATAATTTAATTCCTGTGAAATTTTTATTATTCATGAAAATAATTAAATGTTTGCGTGGAATTTTATTTTAATTTTCGAAAATAATTGAATTCCGGAGAAGAATTTTATTACTTTTAAAAATAATTGAATTCTTGTGATGAATACTGTTATTTATTAAAATTGTTGTCATTTATTAAAATAATTGAATTTTGTAAAAAATTCTATTAAAATTTCTGAAAATAATTGAATTTCTGGAAAGATTTTTGATATTCATCCAGATAATTGAATTCTTTCGAAGAATTGAAATTAAAAGTTTTTTAAAAAATTAGTTTTACAGAATTATTAATTAAAATTATGAGAAATTCTGATTTTCGAAAACTTTGAATTTGAAACCTTTTCAAAATGCAATTATTCTAAAAATTTATGTTACAATGCTTTTAATATTGAATTATTATCTAAAATTTTAACTAAAATTCATTTTTTAATGAATTTTTATTAGAAAATTCTGCGAGAATTCAATTATTTAAATAAAAAAAATTAATAATTTTTTAAATAATTGAATGTTTTTTAAAATTGAATTCTAATAAATGAATTGTAGCAAAGATTATTAAAATAATTAAATTTCTTTAATAAAGTTTAATAAAATTTTTAAGAATAATACCTTTTTTCGAGGAATTCTATTAAAATTGTATTAAAAATGAATGAAATTCAGCTTTGAGTTTTTTTATTTATGAAAATAATTGAATCGCTGTAAAAAATGTTATTATTTATGAAAATAATTGAATAATATATGAAAATAATTTGTAAATAATTGAATTCCTGGGAAATTTTTATTATTTATGAAAATAATGAAAAATGAAATGTTTGCGTAGAATTTTATTAAAATATTTTTTAACTAATTGGATTCTTTTATGAATTTTTATTTAAGCATTAAATATTAAAAATCATTGAATTGAGGAAAGTTTTTGAAAATAATTGAAATTTTACCAAGAATTTTATTAAAATTGTTGAAAATAATTGAATTTCTAAGAAGAATTTTACTACTTTTGAAAATAATTGAATTTCTCCAATCATTTGTAATTGCCTCAAAATTCAATTTATTTTAGTGTTTTTTTTATTAAAATTCTTCTATAAATCCATTATTTTTAATCCTTGCTTTAACTCCCAAATGGGTGCGACGTTTATAAAATCCCCTGGGGAGTTAAAATTTAACTCCCTTTTTTTACAGTGTTATAAGACTAACTTTAGTCTAAATCATTTGAGGCCTTGGATCCAATAACTCGCCCGACGCTCGAAGGCACGCGCCAATACCAGTCGGGTAGCAGTGAGTGGCCCAGAGGCGCTCACTGCTCACTGACTGGCAGTTGCGCGTTCCTCCAAGCGTCGGGCGAGTTATTGGATCCAAGGCCTCATTTGATTTAGATTAAAGTTAGTCTAATATTGAATTAATTTTTACTTAATTTTTTATAACTATAAAATTTACATAAAAAGAATTTTTTTTTTTCAGCCATGGAAACTTTTCAAAGTGAAATAGACAAAGATCCAGAGAATGCGTTAAAATTACTTTTCAATTATTTGATTAATTATTGGATGGAAATTTTGGAAATACTTAACATTGAGGAACTTTCCATTGTTCTTCGACTTTGTGATAAAGAAACTGTGAATAATTTGATGAATATAACTAAACTTAAAACATCGAAAGATAAAATGAATAAACTTGAAGAAATTCTTTCCTGTTTAAGTTTGTAATAATTATGTGTTGAAATATTTTAATAGCTAGTGTTTTAAAGGACTGATGATAGCGAACAAAAAAAAAACTGTGTACAAATAATTTGTTTCTTTTTTTATCAGAAAAATGAATAAAAACATTTTATTATTTTTATTTATAATTTTCTTTATTATCGACTGGACCTTAATGTTTATAATCATTATTTTACAAGTTTTTAAATTATTATTGATGAATTGATGGGCACTTGGAGAGTTAAATAAAAAAACTCTTCTTTTTATGATTCAAAACTTATACCGTATCGTTTCTTAAAACGATTAAGCCAACCGCTGCTTGCCTGTTGAGAAATATTATTATTAAGTTTTTTAAGAAATACACTTTTCAAAAATTTAAGAATTGATTAAATTTTGAAAAAACTAAATTAATTAATTTAGTTTCAAGTTGACACTAAACTAATATTTATACTATTTAGAATATTTAGATCTAATATTTAGACGTTAATCAAGGCTCGAAGCAGTTAAAGTATTTAAAAATACGGAATTTACGGACCAAAAATTAAAAATTACGGACCAAACAAATTTTCGAAAAAGTTCTTTGACAATTTTCCAATTCATACCTTTACATGTATTCAATTTTACGAAATTTCAATTATTCGTAAATTCTTCAATTAAATAAATATTAGAAAATAGAAACTAAAAATAATATTAAAAAAACTCAATTAAACTTTTTCAAAAAAATTTATTACAAAATTCAATTATTTTTAAAAATACCCGCTATATTGCTTTTAATATTCTATTATCTAAATGTTGAACTGAAATTCATTTTTATGAAATGAAAATCAATTTTTATTGGAAAATTCTACTAGAATTCAATTATTTAAATACAAATTTAAATGTAAAAATGCAAATAAATAATTTATTAAATAATTGAACACTTCTTAAAATTCAATTCCCAAAAAAAATCGTTATCAACAAATTTTCAAATAATTAAATTCTATCAACGAATTTTAATAAAATTTTATTAAAAATAAATAAAATAAATGAAATTCTGCGATGAATTTCATTATTTATGAAAATAATTGAATTCCTAAAAGAATTTTATTATTTACGAAAATAATTGAATTCTAAAAAGAATTTTATTATATTTATGAAAATAGTTGAATGATTGCAAAAAAATTTATAAAAAAAATTTGTTATTAATGAAATTCTTGTGAAATTTTTATTATTTTTTGAAAATACATAATTAAAAGTTTTTGTAGAATTTTATTAAATTTTTTTTTTAAATAATTAAATTCTTTTGGTATGTAAATTTTATGAAAATAGTAGATATTGAACAATATTTAATTTTTGCGAAGAATATTATTACTTTTGAAAATAATTGAAATTTTGCAATGGATTTTATTAAAATTTTTGAAAATAATTGAATTTTGTCGAAGAATTTTGCTATTTATTTATAAAGATAATTGAGATGTTGACCATTTTTTTTTAGATTTTTTGAAAATAATTGAATTTCCGAGAAGAATTTTAATATTTCTAAAGATAATTGAAATTTTGACGAGAATTTATTTAAGTAATTTTCTATTTAGTTTCGTTTCAGCATCGGTCCCTGTTAAAAATATATACCAAATAAAATTTATTTTTCAAAAAATAAGGTAACTTTTTTTTACGTTTTTTCAAAAATCAACTTACTTTAAATGTCGTCGAGTTATTAAGTTTTTCATTAAAAATAAGAGCTTTTTCTTGAAGTGCAGGACCATTAACTGGTTCACCTCTACTTCGCATTTGCTGAAACCACATAAATACTGCGGAATCTAAATCAGCATTTTTACATGCTCTCATATTTTTTCTCGTCTTAAATATAGAATTATCTTTAATTACTTCTAAAATTTTTGTCACATTATTTGGCAATTGATAACATTGAGAGCTAGAAATTCCATATTCTTTCATTATTGCTTGATGCGAGACACCGGATTGCAATTTTTTTATAACCTCCAATTTTTTTTCATTGCTTAAATTCACTCTTTTCTGCTTCTTGTCACTCATTTTTATATACTTTTTTTCATTTTATCACTATGAGTTAGAAAAAAAAAATTTTCTACTTCACTTGTCAAATAAGTAATATTTTTGATTTGTTTGGAAATTGGAACTTCTTCTTCTTCTTGTTTTAATGGCCTCTTGTTTAACAAATAGCCAGTACAATTAATGTTATATAGTAGGGTGAAATCATGGTGAAATGTATGGTAGTTGTAGATAGGTTATTCCGGTGTGTAGATTTGCCACAGTTGTTTCTAGTGGTTCAGTGTTTATCAGCTGTAGTCAGTAGTGATGCACTGCATTATCCTGGTGTGATATTGTTGATTACAGGAAAAGCAAATAATTTTTTAAAAAAATGACTGTGAAAACACAACGATATTAGTTCCCTTGATGGTATTGGATATTTCCTATTAGATTTAGCATTGGTATTTCTTTCACTTGTCAGATGAATGTAAAAAAGAATAAAAATAATTCCATCCTGACAATCGAATCCAACTTCAATTTTTTTACATAGTAATCTCTAGACATTTATAGACATGTTTATCAATAGAATAATTTTTTTATTAAATTTTCCAACTAAACCTATTTTTATATTCTTATTGATAATTGTAAACTAGATGTAAAAAAGTATCAAAATTAAATTTTTATAAAAAAGTATTTCACAGAAAATTGAGAATAATAATCAATTATGTCAGCAATTGCAAGGGAAAAATTTAAATAATAAAGTTGAATTGTAGTTATTGATTTAAGCTTTACATAAACTTATTTCGTATCATTTGCGTTTGAAAAATTCACTGCACATTTACTATTAAAAAAAAACCTTTGTCAATCATCATCATCATTTTATAAATATAAATTATTAACAATTTCTTGTACACGGAGAGACCCACATTCGTAAAAATTACTAAAAATGGTTGCAATGACCGGAAATAAGGGGACTTTTAGCATAATGTGCTACAGAATTAGATAAATTTACAAAAGAAATAGATAAATTTGCTACATTGAAATAGCAAGTTTTAATATTTTTTGTAAGAGTTGTAAATGTAGCAAAAATTGATTATAGTTTTCTCTAATTTAATTAGACAAAATCTGACAAATGAAAACATTTTCCACTAAAACCTACGATCCACTGTAGTAATTTTTGGTGAGCAAGGGTGTTTACGAGATTCTCGCCCTAGGGCGCCCCAAGGCGACCAAAGGTTCTCAAAGTCACTTTTATTATTCTTTATTTATATGAAAACAAACGATAATAAAAGTGACTTTGAGAACCTTTGGTCGCCTCGGAGCGCCCTAGGGCGAGCATCTCGTAAACGCCCCAAGTGTGGCTAGCGAGTGAGTCATATGGCGCCTGCATTTCTATTGGTTGCTAACTTCGTCAATCTCCGTAAATGAGCCGATGCCATCCGATCATTGACAGTGACTATGTTTCGCGTATGTAAAATAAATTTGGATATTATCTACAATAATTAAATATAAAGTGAAACGTAGGTCGTTCGGTATCTCAGAAATTGACCATTATAAATTAATAAACTTTGCATTTATTCCTGTCCCAAGAACTATGTCTTATAATAAGTTGTTAAAAGTAAACTGCTTTCTCGTAAGTGCTGTAAATTTTCATCATTCAATATATAAAGAAACAAAGATGTATACTTTCAGTGAAATTCGTTGTCGTGCGTGCAGTTGTGTATTAGTGTATTAATTAACCGCGTCTATATATATAAGTGAAATAAACATGTGTGTGTCTTCAAATATATAAGTGTGTGTGTGTCTGTGTATGTAAAAATCCTTCCAGTTTGTCTCCATTAGTCAAGAATTGACGGGAAACCGGCGACAAAAATCCGTATTTTTTCTTTCACTCTTTCTTTCTGCATTTACAAACGACTGTAGTAATTTTACGTACACAATACTTCTGAGTTTACTACAGTTGTTTGGAACTATTGGACGAAATAGTAAGAAACTTTGCTAATTTGGTGAACATTTGTCGGGATTAGTGACTTAGTGTAGAAAATAGTAAAAAATACAAAAAGTCCCCTTATTTCCGGTGGTTGCAATGTGAAAATAGTAAATTCTAGTGTGATTTTATACAAAAATTAGTAATCTCGGTCTCTCCGTGTATGGAAATTCTTCCTTTGAAATTACACGAGTAGCATCGTCCGGACATGTTTCCATTTCCCAATTATCCCGAGGACGGTTATTATGAAATACCTCCAAGTGATTTTGCATCCAGCTTTTTACAACAAGATGACTTTTATCGTATCGACATGTTAATAAAGTATATTGTTCGTCCATGGCGTCCATATTGTCAGAGTTATCATTCTGTGGACGGCTATAAAGTTTTATTACTCTGTCCAAAAACTCGTCTCCGGCACTTTGGTTTGGTTCCTTTGATGTAATTGGCGATTCAAACAGCTAAACTAGCGCCTCCGGTGGCCGAGTTTAAACTAATATATACACGACTCCCTGCATGGTGTTCAATGTAAATATCAACGTTTTTATAGTTTTTCAGTTTTATTTTCACTATTAAATCAAGTTTTTTTTTAATTGTTCTACTTGTTTAAATATTTATTAAATATATTATAATAATTTTGAAAGAGCATCGTTACTCGCGGACAGAAAGAAAAGAAAAAATGGGAACGAAACAAATGTTATTCGCTCTGAATTGAAAAAAAACAGAAAATCTTTATCAGCTTCCAAAAAATGTTGTAAGACGTAAACAGTAGGCTATTGCATTTAAAACAGGAAAAAAATTAACCGATAAAATGAAAGTTTGCAGTACAAATTTTAAATCTAAAGATTACATATCAACTAGAAAGAACATTTTTTGGTTATGTTTTTATATGTTTGACAAAAATTCTAATTTTATATTACTTCTAATTATATATTATTAATTTAATCTCTATAGACATTAAATTAATAATATAAAATTAGAATTTTAGATTATTAGAAATATAATATTATTAATATTAGAATTATTTAATTATTAGAATTAGAGCGGAACATAATAATTGTTTCGATCCCGTTTTTTCCTTCTTCTGTTCATGAGTAACGATGCTCTTATCCATATTTATTATAATTTATTTAATAAATATTTAAATAAGGTTAACAATTTAGAAAAAAAATTGATTTAATATAATGAAAATAAAACTGAAAAACTTTAAAAATGTTGATATTTACATTGAACACCATGCAGGGAGTCGTGTATATATTAGTTTAAACTCGGCCACCAGATGCGCTAGTTTAGCTGTTTGAATCGCCAATCGAATTTTCAAGTGATGCTCTTTTAAAACAGTGTTCCAAATTGTTTGGAAATGTTTCATTTGAAATTACATCACTTGTATCGTATGGACATATTTCCATTTCCGAATTATACCGAGGACGGTTATCGCAATATTGGTCCAAGTGATTTTGCATCCCGCTTTTTACAACAAAATGACTTTGATTGTATGGACATATAAATAAAGTATATTGTTCGTCCATTGCGTCCATATTGTCAGAGTTATCATTCTGTGGAGGGACAGAAACAACATTTATTATGTAGTCTATACACTCGGCCCCGGCACTTTGGTTTGGTTCCTGTGATGTAATTAATTTTTCAAGTGATGCTCTTTTGAAACAATTTTCCAAATGGTATGGAAATGTTTAATTTGAAATTACATGACTTGTACCGTATGGACATGTTTCCATTTTCCAATTATTCCAAGGACGGTTATCACAATAGTGTATCAAGTGATTTTGCATCTCGCTTTTGACAATACGATGACTTTGATTGTATGGACATATTATTAAAGTATCTTGTTCGTCCATGGCGTCCATATTGTTCCAGTTTTCTTTCAATGGAGGGACAGAAACATTTATTATGGTGTCCAAAAACTCGTCTCCGGCACTTTGGTTTGGTTCCTTTTATGTAATCGAATTTTCAAGTGATGCTCTTTTAAAACAGTGTTCCAAATTGTTTGGAAATGTTTCATTTGAAATTACATCACTTGTATCGTATGGACATATTTCCATTTCCGAATTATTCCAAGGACGGTTAACACAATAGTGTATCAAGTGATTTTGCATCTCGCTTTTGACAAATACGATGACTTTGATTGTATGGACATATTAATAAAGTATCTTGTTCGTCCATTGCGTCCATATTGTCACAGTTATCATTCTGTGGAGGGACAGAAACAACATTTATTATGTTGTCTATACACTCGGCCCCGGCACTTTGGTTTGGTTCCTGTGATGTAATTAATTTTTCAAGTGTTGCTCTTTTGAAACAATTTTCCAAATGGTATGGAAATGTTTCATTTGAAATTACATGACTTGTATCGTATGGACATGTTTCCATTTTCCAATTATTCCAAGGACGGTTAACACAATAGTGTATCAAGTGATTTTGCATCTCGCTTTTGACAATACGATGACTTTGATTGTATGGACATATCAATAAAGTATCTTGTTCGTCCATGGCGTCCATCTAAATAAAATGATTTTCCTTTTAGTCTTTGAAATTCTAGTTTAAATTACACTTGTGATCACACCGACTCGTCTCCACGTGGTAATGTCGCGTTGAATAATCCGTCGCGTTGAATAATCGAAATTGGAACAAAATACTAGACGAACTTTTCTACATCGTGAAGTTAGTAGTTTAAGGCACGGATGGGAAGTTCTCTATTTCAAAGCCATCATCGACATGTGAATCGAGCATAAGGCGAACATAAAAACAAAAACATAAATGAATGAAACTTCAAAAAAAAGGATAAACGTTATATTCCTTGCTCTTTTATCTAAACTTTACGACTTATTTCAATTTATTTTCAATCTGCGTTGACCTATACAAATAATATATGTTGAATTAACTTTAACAATTTTAATTTTAACTTTTCCCGCTTCTGTACACATCGACAATTTCTATTGGTTGTCTAGTTTGAAACCAATGAACGTTCAATTTTCTTCTACAACTCAAGTTTCATTGGCTGTAAATTCACAACGTTCACAACCAACTCGGATTCCATTTTGAAGAATTAAAGAAAGGAAACGTAAGTTTCTTGCGCCAGTAAATTGACAACACGTCAAAAATGGCGGATTCAGGTCCGAGTAGAAGTGATATCGAAGAAGTTTTCAAAAGATTACGTTCAATTCCAACCAACAAGGTGAGTTAATTATATTATTCAAACGATATCCTTCGATATTAACAATTATCTAAATGAATCATAAGATAAAGAAATTCTTTTAATACTTTTAAATATTGATACCACCTTTTTCTATGGCGAACAATATGATCTAATTTTCCCTTTCATTGACACATAATTGCAAATTGTAAAACATTTCACAAGAACTGGAGATTTTTATTATGGGAGTTAATAAAAGTGAATAGATTATTGAATTTATAGTTTATATTTTTTTTACCTCTAATTTTGAGGTTGTGTTAGGGAAAAAAAGACATTTTCTGAATATTTAACGCATATGTTTATAATTAAAATTTCTGTCACTTTTTTCCTCTTTGACATTTGTCACTTTTTTCTTATTTTCATGAGAATTCAGTTTTTTTTAATGAAAAACGAAGTAATTAAAGAAATGGTGACGAATCTTATTAGTTTATCGAATTCAACAAATGCTAAATATAAATATAATTGGTGTATCCAAGTTGAAAAAATGTTTGAATTTATTGGAGAAAAAATTACGTGGAGTGCTCAATATTATAAAGGACAATAAAGAAAGACTAATCAAAACGTATAGTAACTAGCAATAATTTTTTTTACCAACTTTTTTTTTACTATTTCATATAAAATTAACAATTTTAAAAATGATAGAATTTAAAAATTTATAATTCAAATTTTTTTTTATAAAAATAAAATTGTATTGGAATTTAATTTTATTACGAGGTATTAATTACTATAATCAATTATACTATTAAGAATTTGTAGTTTTTATAGATTAAATTCTTTTTTGAAGTCTTTACATATTAAAAAATAATTTTTGATAATTTAATTAATTGAAATGATTAAATTTTATAAGTTTGAACAAACAATTTTAACATAGATACAGAAAAAGTAGAAAATAATTTTTCTCTTACAGTCGAACCTTTACAATCAAAAATTTTTAATCAACTAATTATTTTCAAAGTTGTCAATGAATTAATTATTGAATATTATTTTTCATAAAGTTAGTCTTAGTACAGTAAGCAAGAAAAAAATAATACAATTGTTACAAAGAGAGGTTCAATAGTAAATATTTTCCTAGTTTAAAAAAAAAAATTGTGATTAAAAAATAGGAATTAATGCAAATATTTTTCTTCATTTTATAAAAAAACAAACTTACAATTTTATGAGCAAAATTGTGATTGATAAACAGACACCTTAGAAAAAATGGATATTATGTAAAATACGAATTGGGAAAAATAAAAATTATAAAAATTAATTATTAGTAAAAATGAATATTAGAAAAAATAAAAATTCGAGTAATAAAAAATTATTTAAAATATAATTTCGGTAACAAAAAAATTATGCAAAATAATTATTCGAATAAAATAATATAAAAATTAATTATTAGTAAAAATAAATATTAGAAAAAATAAAAATTCTAGTAATAAAAAATTATTTAAAATATAATTTCGGTAACAAAAAAATTATGCAAAATAATTATTCGAATAAAATAAAATTATAAAAACTGGTTATTATACAATAAAGAAAAATCGTATAAAAAATTATTAAATATGACAAAAATTTTGAAAAATACTAATTCGAAGTAATAATAATTATGAGAACGAGAAGTGACAATTCGGTAAAGTTATAGTTAGAAGAAATACAAGTTAGAAAATATAGAAATCAAAATATTCTTTCGCAGTAGTATAATAAACAATCTGTCTATCGGTCATTCAAAAACAAAATGTTTCTGACAATTATTTTTTCGATTAAAAGAAATTATAATTAATTCTTATTAGATAAAAAGAATTTCGATAAAATAAAGATTCGGAAAATAAAAATTGGAGACTTTTCATGCGCCTCTTTTTTAGATAAAAATAATATATAACATTACTAAGAAATAAATTTACTTAACGATAAATGTATGGTTTATGATATTGATATAAAAACTTTTGTAACTATTTCTGCATCTAAGTTTGACGTTTATTAAACAAACACTTAACTTTACCTATTGAGTGAAAACAATTTTCAATTTTATGTTTTATTTATGAAATCGAAACTGTCACTTAGTTATTAACACACAAATTATTTTAGTTATTTTTGGTTGTAAAAAAAAAATTAAAAACAATTAAAATTTAATGGGTGCTTTATGTTTTTTATTTATGATGTTGAAAACAATCTTTAAATTTAAACTTCTATTTCGAGAGGCGAGTATCATTGAGGATTATAATTATTTTTTTTTCCTTCAGACATGCTTCGATTGCAATGCAAAAAATCCAGTGTGGTCGAGTGTCACATATGGAGTTTTCCTTTGCATCGACTGCTCAGCTGTTCACAGAAATTTAGGAGTACACTTAACATTTGTACGCTCAACTCAACTTGACACCAACTGGACATGGCTTCAATTGAGAAATATGCAATTAGGTGGAAATGCGAATGCTGTAAGAATGATAATTTATTAAATATCTTTTTTTAGATACATTTTTTTTATGTAAATTCCTTAACTTCTTTTCTCAAGTCTTTACAGAAAAATTATTTTAGTCCATTTTTTATACACTTATTAATTATTTAATTTTTATTTTCAGAGAAAATTTTTTGCTCAACACAATTGTATGAGTAATGATGCACAACAAAAATATACATCACGAACGGCTCTTCTTTATAAAGAAAAATTATCACAAGCCTCATCGAAAGCGATGCGTCTATATGGAACCAAGGTAAATAATTATTTCGATTTTGTTTAAAAAAAAAAAATATATAAATTTTTAGAAAAGTTTTTATTATATTTCAATAAAATGGTATAAGATTTATAAATTATAATTATAGGTGTATGTTTCTCCACTTTCGTACAAATCGGTGAGCGATTATCTCTCCGTTTGTGTATTTTTTTCAATTCCAGTTATAAATATTTTCCTTTTTTCACACACTCACGAAAAAAAAAATTGTACCCCTTCGATTAACACATTAACACTTGCTTTGATTGTTTTTTGTTATTACTAGAGAAAGAGGCAAATAATACGTCCATGAACCGTGTTTGAATTTTTTTTTTTTATTGTAATTTAATAATATAAAATAATTTTAAAATAATTTGAATTGTTTTGATTTTCCCATTAGTTGCATTTAGACAATCAAACACAACCGGAAGTTGTTCAAGAACCAAATGAGGTGGATTTCTTTAAAGAACATGAGAATTTAGAAAGCAACGAAATCACTGTGCCTAAGGTGGAGAAACCGTTGATAACATTAAACACTCTTACTGGCGAATCAACACCGAAATTAACGACAAAAACAGAAACAAATGATAATACTTTGGGTCCGTCCGTTAAATTGTCAGATTCAGGTGCTTTAATCACCGATAGAAAACCTACAATTGGTACCAGAAAAGTTCAACCGAGAAAAACTGGGGTAAGAATTTGTAATTTAATTCAGAGTTGCCATGCAACTTGAAAAACCTGGAGATGTCAGGGAATTTTATAAAGCTTGAAAATACCTGGAAAAAGTCAGGAAATTTTGATCGAAATCCTGGAAAATTGTTGTTTTCTAAAGTTTATTCTTGAAATCAAATTTCACTTAATTATTTCAAAATTAATCCAGTTTTAAAAGAATTGCGTTTACAATTTTCATAAATAGATGAACTTTAAAAGCTTTTGATTTAAAATTTTGTAAAATTTCAATTTCAAATGAATTTAATTAGAAATATAAAAAAAAACTGAGAGTTAAAAGAAAATTTTTAAACTAAAATTCTTCTGAAATTAGTTACATTTTTTAATATATATTTAACTAGTTTTATTAAAAGTAATGGATTTATGGAAATTTTTTTTTTTAAAAACACTAAAACAAATTGAATTTTGAGGCAATTACAAATGATTGCAGAAATTAAATTATTTTCAAAATTAGTAAAATTTATTCTTCTCAGAAATTCAATTATTTTCAAAAAATTTAATAAAATTCTTGGCAAAATTTCAATTATTTTCCAAAACTTTCCGCAATTCAATGATTTTTAATATTTACTACTATAATAAAAATTCCTAAAAGAATTCAATTAGTTAAAAAAAATTTTAATAAAATTCTACGCAAACATTAAATTATTTTCATTAATAATAGAAATTTTCCAGGAATTCAATTATTTACAAATTATTTTCCTATTATATTATTCAATTATTTTCATAAATAATAATATTTTTAACAGGCATTCAATTATTTTCATAAATAAAAAAACTCAATGCTGAATTTCAATTATTTTTAATACAATTTTAATGGAATTCCTCGAAAAAAGTTATTATTCTTAAAATTTTTATTAAAATTTATCAAAGAAATATAATTATTTTAATAATCTTTGCTACAATTTTTTTTATTAGAATTCAATTTTAAAAAACATTCAATTATTTAATGAATTATTTATTTATTTATTTAAATAATTGAATTCTCGTAGAATTTTCTAATAAAAATCGATTTAAAAACGAATTTTAGACAATAATTGAATATTAAAAGCATTGTAGCATGAGTTTTTAGAATAATTGCATTTTGAAAAGGTTTCAAAAATTCAAATCTTTTGAAAATCAGAATTTCTCATAATTTTAATTAATAATTCTGTGAAACTAATTTTTTTAAAAAGTTTTAATTTCAATTCTTCGAAAGAATTCAATTATCTGGATGAATATGAAAAATCTTTACAGAAATTCAATTATTTTCAGGAATTTTAATAGAATTTTTTTACAAAATTCAATTATTTTAATAAATGACAACAATTATAATAAATAACAATATTCATCACAAGAATTCAATTATTTTTAAAAGTAATAAAATTCTTCTCCAGAATTCAATTATTTTCGAAAATTTAAATAAAATTCTACGCAAACATTCAATTATTTTCATAAATAATAAAAATTTCACAGGAATTCAATTATTTACAAATTATTTTCAAATATTATTCAATTATTTTCATAAATAATAACATTTTTCTTCGAAATTAAATTCATTTCAAAATTTTTTATAAAATTCTTGTCAGAATTTCAATTATTTTTAATACAGTTTTAAAGGAATTCCTCAAAAAAAGTTATTATTCTTAAAAATTTTATTAAAATTTATCAAAGAAATTTAATTATTTTAATAACTTTTGCTACAATTTTTTTATTAGAATTTAAGTAGGTTCAATAAATTTTTAATTAAAGTTCTTTAAAGAATAAAATTTTTTTAAAAAATTTTAATGAAATTCTTTGCGTGACAATTCAATTTTTTTCAAAATTTTTGAAGAAGTTACAGTAATAAATTATCAAGTTTTATAATAATATTCTTATGTTACTGAATTTCAAATTTTTGAATATCATAATTTTAATAAAAAAAAGTAAAGATTAATTATATATTTAAAAATAAAGTTATTAATGTTTTCGAATAATTTTCGAAAAAATTTAATTTTTTCACCTGGAAAAGTCAGGGAATTTGAAAAGAGCAAAAGCGTAGGAACCCTGATTTTTTAAATTCTTTTTTACATGTTAAAAGATGAATTTTAAATTGATTAAAAATTTGTTTAATTTCTTTTTAAGTTGGGTAAGAAAAGTGGATTTGGTGCTCAACGAGTGAAAACAAATTTCGATGAATTGGAAAAAAGTATGCTTGAAGCGTCACGTGAAATTGTTAACAAAGAAATTGAGGAGAAATCAAAAGAGGAACAGGAAGAAATTGCAACACGTTTGGCTTATCGATATGAACAAAATTTGAGCCTACAGGCGAAAAAAGTTGAGGATACAATAAAACAGTTGAGTCCCTCTAAAGCCGGACAGGCCGAGAGACTTGGCATGGGATTCAATAATAGCAGGTGAGTTCTTTTAAACATTTTTTTTTATTCAGAATAAAAAAAATAATGCTTCATATTATATAAAAATATACACTAATTACTTTTTTTTTCTTTTAGAGGAGCTAGTCATTCGGCTTTCGGTGACATGAGTACAATTGCACAAGAATCATCATCAAAAGTATTCACAGCGTCGGAGCCAAAAAGAGATCTGAGACAAATTGATGATACACTCGCGACTCTCGCGACATTTAAAGATATTGATGATTTTGCATTTGAGCACATTTTCAAGTCGTCGACATTAAATTCTAAATCGCAAAATGACGAGGTCACTATTATCGCTGAACCAGAACCGCCCAAGAGAGTGACGCCACGTCATAATTCCCAAAAGGAGAATAAAGTCAATGCTGAAGGCGATGCTCAAAAGAAATTTGGTTGCGCCAAAGCCATAAGTAGCGATCAGTACTTCCGGGACACTATTGGAGATGATAATGTACGATTTTAGAATATTTTTATGTACCTTTTTACTAATTATTAATATTCACGAAAGAATGCAATTTTTTTCTTAATTCGTTATAAAAAAATTTCAATAGAATTCAATTATTTTCCAAAATTTTAATAAATTCTTTTAAAAAATTCAATTATAATTATAAATAGTAAAATTCTTTGCAAAAATTCAATTATTTTTTAATACAATTTGAATAAAGTTTCATGAAAGAATTCAATTTTAAAAAAATTTGTTTTAAAAAAATTTAATTGTTTTCTAAACTTTTAATAAATTCTTCGAAACAATTCAATTATATCTATAAATAGAAAAAATTCTTTGCAAAAATTTAATTATTTTTAAAGAAATTTGCCGAAAGAATTCAATTTTTTTTTAAATCGTTATAAAATTTTTCAAAAGAATTCAATAATTTAAAAAATGTTTTGATTAAAATTATCAAAGAAACTGCATTATTAAAAAAAAATTTTTTTTAATTCTTCAAAAAGAATTTAATTTGAATTTTCATAAATTTTAATAAAATTCTACACGAGAATTCAATTATTTTCCCAAATAATAAAACTCATCGTCAAATTTCAATTACTTTTTAATGCATAAAATTTTAAACAAATTTCACGAAATATGTAATTAAATCTTCATTACGAAAATTTTAATTATTCTAAAGAATAGAGAAGGTAAAAAAATTATTATATATTCAACTTTCTGATCAAAGAATATAAATAATACTTTTTATTAGAGAATTTCCACTAATTTTAATTCGCTAATTTTCAAAAAAAAATTTCTAAAAAATCAATTATTTAACAAAATTTTTATACAATTCTTCACAATAATTCAATTACTTTCACTAATAATAATATTTTTCATGAAAATTGAATTTTTAAAAATATTTTTGATTAAATTCTAAGCATGAATTTAATTATTTTTATAAATAATAAAAACTCATCGAAGAATTTCAATTATTTTTTATACTATTTTCAATTAATTAATCGAAAAATTCAAAGTTATTTTCGTAAATAAAGTTTTCCACAAGAATTCAATTATTTAAACTAATAAAATTTTCATAATATTTATTATACAGTACCGTCCGCAATTGTCAGTCCACCCATTTTTAAAGGAATGACAAAAATTTTTTAACATAAAATTCATGAAAACTAAATTTTTTTTTGGTTTATATTTTGAAAGACGATAAAATTTTGAAAAGAATAAGACCTTACAGAAGTCATTTGGCCAAAATTTGTAGAAGATATTCCTAAAAATCGTCATTTTCAATGTTTTACAAAAATTTAAATAACTTCTAAAATAATGAACGCTTTTTAATAATCTTAGGCTTATTTTAAAGGTCTTTTTCTACGGAATAAGAATTACTTATAGGCATTAACCTGTCATTTTTAACTTGGAATAAGCATGACGTCAAAGTTGGACAAAAAAATTCAAAAAATTTGAAATCAATTTTTTGTACTAAAAACTATTCTAGAACATATATAAAACATGATATGGTGTAGATTTTTCAAGAAAATTTAATAAAAATATATGTTTGAATTTCAAAAATTATTTTTCTTTTAATAATATTATTTCAAATTTTTTGAATTTTTTTGTCCAACTTTGACGTCATGCTTATTCCAAGTTAAAAATGACAGGTTAATGCCTATAAGTAATTCTTATTCTGTAGAAAATGGTCTTTAAAATAAGCCTAAGATTATTAAAAAGCGTTCATTATTTTAGAAGTTATTCAAATTTTTGTAAAACATTGAAAATGACGATTTTTAAGAATATCTTCTACAAATTTTGACCAAATGACTTCTGTAAGGTCTTATTTTTTTCAAAATTTTATCGTCTTTCAAAATATAAACCAAAAAAAATTTTACTTTTCATGAATTTTATGTTAAAAAAATTTTGTCATTCCTTTGAAAATGGGTGGACTGACAATTTCGGACGGTACTGTATTTCGAAAAAATTAATTATGTTAAACAATATTCATAAAATTCCTATAAAGAATTTAATTACTTTTAAAAATAATAAAAATTTTTCACAGAGATTCAATTCTTTTTAAACATTTTAATAAACTTTTCCTCAATACATAATTCAATTATATTAAAAAAAAAATAAAATTCTTCTCTATAATTCAATCATTTTTGAGAATTATAATAAAATTCCTAACAATTATTCAATTATTTTGCATAAATAATAAAATGTTTGCTTAGGAATTAAATTATTTTTAAAAAAATTTAATAAAATTTCCCACAGACATTCAATTATTGCCAAATTTTGTAATACAATTCTTTGTAAAATTTAATTATCTTTAAAAACTTTTCGAAATTCAATGATTTTCAATTATTTAAACATTTTTATTTAAAATTCTTCGCAAGAATTAAATAATTTTTTACATATATTTTGAATTATTTCATGAATAATAAAATTCGTAGCCAGGAATTCAATTTATTATCAGGATAAGAAAAAAGTAAATATTTTTGATGAAAATTAGGAAAAAGTTAGGAAAATAAAAAATATGGAATGGAATTTTTGTCAATTTTGTGAAGAGAAGCAAATGAATTATAAGTTATGTTTGTGATAGATTTTGCTTCATTAAAAGTTCCTTGTTAATTATTTAAACTTGAAAGAAGTTTTTGAAAATATTTTCGATCTAAAGAATACTGGAAATTCAATAATTTTTGTAATATTAATTTATTCTCTCTCTGTATGATTTTAACTCAAAAAGTTATAAACATAACCTCAAATTTTAAACTTCTTTAGTTACCTTTCTTCAGAGCGCGTCAAAAATTAATAATTAATTTAAAAAATTAAATAAACAAAATGTTAAAAATAAATGCTTTTCTCATTGCAGTGGGAACGAAAGAATAATTTACGTCGTTTTGAGGGATCATCAAGCATTTCCTCGGCAGATTATTTTGGCACCGGTCAATCGAATCCGACCTCGCCAACATCATCATTGTCAATGAATTTCGAAGGTCGAGTTGATCTCGAAGATGTGCGCGAAAGTGTTCGACAAGGTGTTAATAAAGTAGCGGGTAAACTAAGCTCACTCGCCAACGCAGCAGTCTCATCAATTCAGGATCGTTATGGACTCTAAAAAAATTACAAAAAAAAAAAAAAAAAAAAAATTGGCATTAAATACTGTTAATGATAAAAAAAAAATTTCTTATACGTGTTATTCTATTGAACTGTAAATAAAAGCTTCCGAGAGCTTAAAAAACTCTCACTGTTTTTAGGTATTATATATAAATAAAGAGTTCTGTAAAATTGTAAACTATTCTTTTATTTTTCCACCAAAAGAAAAAGAATTTCTTCTTCACTTTTTTTTCTTTCTCAAATATATTTCCTCAGTTTTAACAGTGGAAAATGTAATTAAAAAAATTTGTTTTTTAAAATGAAAATTTTAACAGGAATTTTACTAATTTTTTCTGCACTTCTCTCTCTCTCTCTTGGATTATAGCTTTTCAATTTTTCTTAACTATATAGTACATATCACAAATTTTACTCGAGTATCAAGATAATATTTTTCAAATTTTTTCACGACGCGACGGATAACAATATTAATAAAAATGAAAAATTTGACTCTTATATAAAAAAAAAAACAATGTATAGATTAAAAAAAAATAGTGTATGTATAGATTAAAAAATAAAATATATGACAACAAGTTAATTAACAATGGACAATTCAAAAAAAAAAAATTATTTTCTATGCACACAATTTGAAAAAATTTTCTTTTTGATTTAATGCTATATGCAACTCTCGAGAATTGTCGAGGCGTCGCCTATTGACTCGCAATATTGTGTTTCGGCTGGTGGCTGTTGGCATTTGGTGACTAGATGAGAATATGGTTTTCCATTAAGTAAACAGATGAGAACAACTGTCATATTGTCGCAACCAATTTCCATTAGAACATCAGGCGCTAGGCAGTGTTTTAATAATTCCTCGCAAATTTCTTCGGGATCGATGAATTTCTCTTCATTCCCATCAATTTTTTGACATGCTATTCTACTTCTCACGAATTTCACTACATCTTGATTTGTCATCACATCCCAAATTCCATCGCAAGCGAGGACCAAAAATTCCCAGTCATCGGTTAATTGGAATTCTCTTACGTCTGGAAGCACTGTAATTTGAGAAAATTTTTAAGATTAAACACAAGTTTGTCACAAAATTTTTATTTTTTTATTTACCATAATTTTTTTTTCTAATTTACAGACAAATTTTTGACACTTTTTCCTGATCGATTAGAAAATAAAAATTTTAAATAATTTAGAAAAAAAATTCAATTAAACTTTTTTAAAAAAAATTAATTCCATTAAAATTGTATTAAAAATAATTGAAATTCTGCGATGAGCTTTATTATTTATGAAATTAATGAAATATTTCCGTAGAATTTCATTAAAACCTTTTTTTAAATAATTGAACTCTTTTGAAAAACTTTATTTAAATAGTGGATATTGAAAATCATTGAATTGAGAATAATTTTTGAAAATAAATTAAATATTGCCAAAAAATTTATTAAAATTTTTGAAAATAATTGAATTTCGAAGAAGAATTTTATTACTTTTTAAAAATAATTGAATTCTTGTGATGAATATTGTTATATATGAAAATAATTGAATTTCGAAAAGAATTTTATTAAAATTGCTGAAAATAATTGAATTTCTTTGAAGATTTTTGATATTTATCCAGATAATTAAATTCTTTCGAAGAATTGAAATTAAAACTTTTTTTAAAAAAATAGTTTTACAGAATTATTAATTAAAATTATGAAAAATTCCGTTTTTTTGAAGGATTTGAATTTGAAACCTTTTCAAAATTGAATTATTTCAAAAAATTCATGAAATATTTTAATATTCAATTATTATCTAAAAATTTTAACTAACATTCATTTCTGAATCAATTTTTATCAGACGATTCTACGAGAATTCAATTATTTAAATACAAAAATAAATAATTTTTTGAATAATTAAATGTTTCTTAAAATTCAATTTACATAAAGTATTTTATCAACAAATTTTTAAATAATTGAATTTCTGCAAAAAATTGTATTACTTTAAAAAATAATTGAATTCTTGTTATGAATATTGTTATTAATGAAAATAATTGAATTTTAAAAAGAATTTCATTAAAATTGCTGAAAATAATTGAATTTCTAGGAAGATTTTTGATATTTATCCAGATAATTGAATTCTTTCGAAGAATTGAAATTAAAATTGTTCAAAAATCTAAGTTCTTTAAAATTTCTAATTAAATTCATTGAAAATTGAAATTTTATAAAATTTCTCATGGAAACGTTTTAAATTTCATCTATTTATGAAACTTATAAACGCAACTCTTTCAGAATTCAAAAAATTTTGAAATATTTAAGTAAAACTATTATTTATTAAATAAATTTTTAAGTAAATAATTTTATGACAGTTCTTCAAGAATTAAGTTATTCAAAATGAAATTATTGGCAGAAATAGAAAAACAAAAAGGACCCCAAAAATAAGTATTTTGTTATGAATTCTAAAAATTTAATATTTTCCAGCACTTTTAATAAAAAAAACCCTGACTTTTCCCTGATTTCCCTGACTTTTATCTGAATTTTTTGACCTGTGGCAACCCTGAGTTAATTTAAAATTTTAAGTTTAAGATTTAAAAATTAAAATTTAAAATTTAAGATGTAAAAATTCAAATTTTTAATTTAAGATTTAAAAAATAAAATTGAATAGTTTTATAGCTGATATTTGAGAACTAAATTTACCAGTGACTATTTGTTCCTCTTGTGACTTGCGATTGTTTTGCTTAAACATAAAGTCCCCGAAAGCACGGGACAAAGCCAAATGTCGATTGACTCTTCCCAATTCGACCCAACCACCGGCTGCTTCGATTCGCTTCTTTTCGAGAGCTAAATTTGGCTTATGATCTTGACTCAGTGGAACCGGATGCCCTCGAACACATGCAACAGCTCTGCTATCACCCGCATTCGCCTAAGGAATGATTAACTATTTTCAAAAATCTTAAATTTTCCAGCTTATGAAAATAATGATGAGACGAATACATATTTTGAGAAAGTGGTTTTTAATAAAAATTTTGCTCCAATTTTTAAAAATCTGATTTCTTCATCATAGAGAGACTATAAAAAAATAATACAATAATAAAAAAAAAAACTAAATTGCAACTTTTCATATGTTTCTTAGTATATATATATATATAAAGTATATCATTAAAAAGTCCCAATTGCGTTGAAAGTAATTTAATTTCAAAACAGTTAGAATTAAAATTATTAATTAGTTAATTTTAAAAAGATTTATTTTTTTTTTAATTGAAATTTTGAAAAATTTTTTATTCAAAATTCTGAAAAATTTGTTTTTTTAAAAACACAAAGTTTCTACTCACACTGTAAAGAATGTTATCTTTAATGAGTAGAGTGATGGCAGTTGAACCAGCTTGTTTCTCTCTTATTAATGAGTCACTTTGCATGTCTTTATCCAATTCTAAAAAGGCTTTTTGCATCGCCAAATTTACATTTCCACTTTGGTATTCAATTCTTTTGGTTATATACTCATGAAGATGTTTACTTATATGTTGTGAAACGGCTGCCCCTGCAATGAAAAAAGAAGTTTAATTCAATTTTTCTACTTTAAGGCCAGTTTGTTTAAAAAAAATGTATTAGAAGTCAAACTTTCCTTATTTAAAACAAAAAAAAAAAGAATTTTCTTTTGTACAAAAGGGTTACCACAAAAATTTTATTTTATTTTTGCCTGACTTTTTCCTAATTTACAGACAAATTTTTTACTTTTTTCCTGACCCTTAAGAATATTCTTATTGACTTAATGATTCACTCTCCTTTAAAATCAATTACTTTTAATAATTTTTTAAAAAATATTTAAAAATTTTCCAAATCCATTTGTTTACAATTCTGTTTTAAGAAATTTCAATTAATCGTTAATTCTTCAATTAAATATGTATTAGAAAATAACTTCAAAAAAAAAAAATTCAATTTGTAAACCTTTTCAAGAAAACTTAATGTAAAATTCGTTGCATCAGGAGTTCATTTATTTTCATAAATAATAAAATTCTTCACTGGATTTAAATCATTTAAAAAAAATTGTAATAAAAATTCAATTATTCCCCTAAATAATAAAATTCCTCACAGGATTTTAATTATTTTTAATACAATTTTAAGTAAATTCTTCGAAAAATGTAATTATTTTCAAAAATTTTATTAAAGTTCTTAAAAAAAAAATTCAATTATCAATTATTTTAAATAATTTTTGTCAAAGTTTCTTGAGAATTTTTAAATCTATTTGTTTACAATTCAATTTTATGAAATTTCTGTTTTTCGGAAATTCTTCAATAATTAAATATTTAGAAAATAAAAACTTGAAATAAATTTAAAAAAAATTCAATTAAACTTTATTAAAAAAAAATTTTTGTTTAACACAATTGTTTGATAAAAGTATAAAAAAACTCAGATTTTCAAAGATTTTAATTGTAAAACCTTTTCAAAATTCAATTATTTTTAAAAATTCCTACTATAATGCTTTTAATTTTCAATTATTATCAAAAATTTTAACTAAAATTCATTTTTAATTCAATTTTTATCAGAAAATTAGAAAATTCTACTAGAATTCGATTATTTAAATACGAAAAAAACTAATTTTTTGAATAATTGAATGTTTCTTAAAATTCAATTTTCATAAAGTATTTTATCAACAAATTTTTTAAAAATTGAATTCCTTCGACAAATTTTAATAAAATTTCTAAGAATAATTACATTTTTCGAGAGGAATTCAATTAAAATTGTATTAAAAATAATTGATATTCTGCGATGAGCTTTAATATTTATGAAAATAATTGAATTCCTTTTCCTAAAAATAATTGAAATTGTGCGTAATTTGATATTTTTCAAAATCCATTTTGTTTATAATTGAATTTTAAGAAATTTCGATTATTAGAAAATTCTACGAGAATTCAATTATTTAAATAAAAAAATTAATACTTTATTAAATAATTAAATGTCTTTTTGAAACTGAATTCTGATAAAGAATTTTGTCAAAATTTTTTTTTAATAATTGAATTCTTTCGACGCAATTTAATAAAATTTTTAAGAATAATAACTTTTTCGAGAAATTCCATTAAAATTATATTAAAAATAATTGAAATTCAGCATCGAGTTTTATTATTTATGAAAATAATTGAATCCCTGTAAAAAATGTTATTATTTTATGAAAATAATTGAATAATACATGAAAATAATTTGTAAATAATTGAATTCCTGTGAAATTTTTATTATTTATGAAAACAATGAAATGTTTGCGTAGAATTTTATTAAAATTTTTGTTAACTAATTGAATTCTTTTAGGAATTTTTATTTAAGTAGTAGATATTAGAAATCATTGAATTGAGGAAAGTTTTTGAAAATAATTAAAATTTTGCCAAGAATTTTATTAAAATTTTTGAAAATAATTGAATTTCGAAGAATTTTATTAAAATTTTTGAAAATAATTGAATTTCGAAGAATTTTATTAAAATTTTTGAAAATAATTGAATTTCGAAGAAGATTTCTATTACTTTTTAAAAATAATTGAATTCTTGTGATGAATATTGTTATTTATGAAAATAATGGAAGATTGCAAAGAATTTTATTCCTGAAAATAATTGAATTTCTTTGAAGATTTTTGATATTTATCCAGATAACTGAATTCTTTTGACGAATTTTAATAAAATTTTTAAGAATAATTACATATTTCGTGGAATTTGTTTAAAATTGTATTAAAAAGTAATTGAAATTCTACGATGAATTTTATTATTTTGGAAAATAATTGAATTCCTAAAAAGAATTTATGAAAATAATTGAATTTAAAAAATTTAAATGTTTGCATAGAATTTTATCCAATTTTTTTAAAGATAATTGAATTCTTTTGGAAAACTTTATTAAAATAGCAGATGTTAAAAATCATTGAATTGAGGAAATTTTTTGAAAATAATTAAAATTTTGCCAAGAATTTTTATTAAATTTTTTGAAAAAATAATTGAATTTTGGCAAAGAATTTTCTTATTTATATAGACAATTGAAATTTTGATTAGAATTTTTAAAAATTTTGGTAGAAAAGAAAACATTTACCCCCATGACCGTCATAGACTCCAAAGAAGGCTGTTCCTGGATCATCAGGTAGAGAGAGAATGTGAACGTGACTATCTTCCATACTCACTCGCCATCCTTGCATACTCGAACTGCCAACTCGAAAATTATCATTTCTACAACAAGCCGTCTTTTTTGTTTTCACTGGTTCACTCAAAGTTTGCCCCATTGTATACTTCAATGTTGAACTCCTCCTTTTTTTAACAAAAAAATTTTCAATTAAAAATTTTCGAAATGATTTCATAAATATTATCTTTTAATATTTTCTTTTAATTTTTTTTAAACGTTCTCCGGTATTCCAGAGGGGAAGAAAATAACAAAAAAATAAAATGAAAAATTATAGGCACTAGAGAAAAAGTGATTATTATAAGTTATAATCCAATATTCTAAACTTAATGAAACAAATTAAATTTAGTCGCAAAAATGATATTGAAAAAAACTTATACGTTCAACTACAAAATAAATTTTTTAAAATCCATTTTTTTAACATTTTTAACCATCAAAATCATGTTTGCTTCAAATAAAGAAAAATCAATTTTTGTTAATATTAGTTTGATAATAATAATTAATATTAATTATAAAAAAATAAATGTTATTATTGCCAAAAAGTTTTTTCGTAAATAATTTTAATCCCCAACATTTTTTCCCACTATACATATATTATAGTTTTTAATACTTTTGTCAATTATTAAAAATCATTAAAAATTGACAGTTGGAAAAGTTTGGGTGTAGATTTAATAAACAATTTTCTACGGCCTTTGACCTACCTTCTGTCATTAACCCAATTAAACCTATTTTTAAATTGTAAACCTAACCTTTCTGTTTAAAGACCAATGACTTTAAACTTATCTGTCAATTTCATTTATAAACGTGAATTTCGTTTTTATAAGAAAAAGAAAAAAACTTACCCATTAATAACTGAAATTTAAAAAAATCTATTTCTTTCAAAGAATATTTTGCAATTTTTTTTTTTGTAAATCCAATATATGTAATAGATATGATCAAACGTCAAAAATGTGTAAATAAAAATATAGTCTTCTTTTAAATCTCCACAAGAATATAGGTTGGTAAAGTTGCCGATAACTTCGTTCTTCTTCATTGTAAAGTGTGGATCACAGTGTTTATTACTAGATTCGTAATTGGCGCAAATATTGCGAATTATGAGAGAGACAGAAAGGAACTCAGTGTGTGATCCTTTTCTTTCTCATCTAAATAGTGAATGAGTGATTTTAAGTGATTTAAAACATTTTGTTTTTACTTGAAAGTTATCATAAAGGTTTTGGTAGTTTTTCTAAAATAACAATCATAAAAATTATTATAATTATATATTATATATAATATTAAAATATTGTACACGTATTTTTTTATTATATTTCATATAACTTGTTCGAAGATATTACTTATGTAGTACCGCAACTTGCTGTTGGATGTCGCCACTTTTAGAGATAGATCAAAGCAAAATATGCTGTGGATCTGACTTCATACATCCCCTCTTTGTCTACCTCTTTGTCCATCTCTTAGGTCCTTTGTTCCTCCATTCGTTTCTTGGCGTTGGATCAAGCCACATATCTACAATGGAGTCAGAAAATTCAACGGCAGACAGGAAAGCAGCTTACAAAAGAAGACTAAAGGAATTGGAGAGTGAAATGAATAGCGTTTTTCAAGATATGGAGGATCTTAATAAATCACATGAGGAAGATTCAGAATTGACTTTCGAAGGTAGGTTATTTGTGGATAGTTCAGCATCTCAGGATGATTCTTCCGACACGAGGGCCGAGTTTCAATTCAAAGTTGATCCCATGTGCCCAGATAAAGTCCTGATCTTGGATTCAAAGTCCATGACGGATTCTAAAATAAATTATTCTAATTATAATGTTCCTCAGAAAATAAATACGCCTCATTGTATTTTAGATGTAATCAATCATGAGAAGAGTACGGACAAAATGGCGGAACCAGAGGAATCTGAGACGGTTCATGAAAATTTCGAGTCGGATGAGGCCTGTATTTATTTGGGTGATAATCCTTCTAATGACACAGAAGATTTAATTTTGCTAGAAAGCATCGCTAACCGCTTAAAGTCTTGGACAAAAAAGGGAATAGGAAAAAAGGAGATTAAGGAGGAACTCTTATCCTCAATCCCAAGGAAAGGTGCGGTCAATTTAGAAGCTCCTATTTTGAATGAAGAAGTCTTAGTGGATATCCATCCAAAATCGCTGATTCGTGATGAATTTTTTCGTGATTATCAAAATTTGACAGGCGCCGCTTTAGCATCCTCATCGTTGGTTTTAAGTATGATACTAAACGACTCGCAAAATCCTTTGGAAAGAGAAGATGTTCTAAAAAAACTCTCAGACACAGTGAAGCTTCTCTCCGAACTATTCTTCTCATTGACAACAGCTAGAAAGACTTTTCTACTTGGTAGGTACGAGGAACGTGTACAAAAAATTCTAAAGAAGGTCGAGCCATCAGCTTTACTTTTTGGAGACAACTTAAGGTCTCTCATAGAATCCTCGAAGGCGATGGAGAGGGTTTCAAAGGAGTTGAAACCAAAACAGAAATACCAGTCTAAACCATCTACTAGTAGCAATTTAAACTGGAGGAGCTCTACGATCAGAAGAGAGGTGGGTCGTGGGAGCCATTCTTACAACCGCCAAAGGACAACCACCTCGAAACCCTCGGGAATGCCAATATCATTCAAGCAGAGGACTCCTGCAAAGAGATATTACACACAATCTCAGCCTCAACAGAGGAGTCAGCGACATTAGAGGAGAGTGTAAGTATACATTCAGCAAGATTAAAATTTTTTATTAATAACTGGAGGCAAATAACACAGGACGCTTTTGTTCTTGAAATTGTCTCTGGATATAAATTAAACCTTAGGCAGGAGGTATTCCAATTTGGCGATATTCACAATCCTGTTCCTAACAATGATTTCGACATTGCAATTTTAAAGTTATTAAATTCTAACGCTATAGAGTTGTGTAATTTTGACAAGAAACAATTTTTATCCTCATACTTTCTTGTAGATAAGCCAGACGGTACAAAGCGGTTCATTTTAAATTTAAAAAAATTTAATTTTTTCTTAGCCAAAGAACATTTTAAAATAGAGGATTTGAGGACAGCTATTAATTTACTTTCCAGAGGAGATTATTTATGTAGGTTAGATTTAAAAGATGCATACCTATTGGTACCCATTCACGAGAGTGACAAAAAATATCTTCGTTTTGAGTATAGAGAAAAATTATACCAATTTAATGCGTTACCTTTTGGGCTGTCGTCAGCTCCTTTCGTGTTCACCAAGCTTTGTAAACCAGTTGTAAATTTATTAAGAAGTATGGGTATTAGACTCGTGATATATTTGGATGATTTTTTAATCTTCGGTAGTTCTCCGGAAGAATGTAGGAAACATACGGAACAAACAGTATCCTTATTAGTCTTTTTAGGTTTCAAGGTCAACTGGGAAAAAAGTGACTTATCCCCAAAGACAATTTGTAAATTCTTAGGAATGATAATAAATACGGTTGATATGACTATCGAGTTACCGAAGGAGAAACGTTTAAAAATTAAAGATATAGTCAGGGTAATGTTACTAGATAAAAAAGTAAGAATTCAGAATTTAGCAGAATGCATTGGAGTACTAGTAGCAGCTTGTCCGGGTGTTGCTTACGGCTGGCTCTACTACAAGGAACTTGAACTAGTTAAGAGATGTGCACTAACACTTAATCATAATAATACAAGAAAATTCACAAATTTATCAGAGGGTGCTTTAGAGGAACTAAAATGGTGGTATTCAGAAATTTTAGTTGTTAAGAACAAAATTAGATCAAGTAATTATGACCTAGAAATTTTTTCGGATGCTTCTACCACGGGTTGGGGAGCGACTTGTGGTACAAGAGAGGCCCACGGATCGTGGACAATTAAGGAAAGACAGATGCACATTAATTATTTAGAAATAAAAGCAGCCTTCTTTGCCCTCAAATGTTTTGCTTCAACAATCTCTAACAAACAGATACTCTTACGAATAGATAATATAACAGCGCTGGCTTATCTCAATAAGATGGGGGGTATTAAGCATAGAGATTTAAACAATATAACAAAAGAAACTTGGGAGTGGTGTAAGACTAGACAAATTTGGATTTTTGCTGAGTATGTTGCGTCGAAAGAAAATCCTGCGGACAAAGGGTCTAGAATTACAAATCCAGATACCGAATGGGAACTTTCAGACTTTGCCTTTCGTGAGTTAGTTCAAAAATTTGGAAATCCAACTATCGATTTATTTGCAAGTCGTACAAATACAAAATGCGACAGATATTGTTCTTGGGATAGAGACCCTGAAGCTTTATCAATAAATTCGTTAACAATAGATTGGAACGGCGAATTTTGGTATGCTTTCCCCCCGTTCTCCTTGATTGCTAGATTACTTAAAAAAGTTCGAGAAGAAGGTTCTACGGGTATTTTAGTGGTCCCTTATTGGACAGGACAACCTTGGTTTCCAGAATTTAAAAGACTTTTAATTTCGAATTTAATTCATTGGCAACCCTCAACTAATCTTTTGCTTTCTCCTTGCAGAAAAATGGTCCATCCGATGGCATCCAGTCTTATCCTGGTTTCCGGCATTGTTTCTGGAAAGCCCTGCAGAAAAAGAACTTGGATGATGACACAATCCAAATAATGTTTGCATCTATGGCTGAGGGGACAGTGAAACAATACAACTCCGCTTTGAAATATTGGTGGTCATATTGTAAAGAAGGCCAACAGGATCCTTTTAGGGCCAATGAAAATATTGTCCTTCAATGTCTATCGAGGAGGTTCTCAACAGGGGCAAATTATGGAACATTAAATTCCTTACGCTCAGCCATTGCTTCGATAAATAGTTTCGACACATCGGATAGTTTGTTAATTACACGTTTTTTCAAGGGAGCTTTTAAACTTCGTCCAACCATTCCAAAATATAATTCCACGTGGGACACGGATATTATGTTAAAAAAATTAAAGGAATGGAGTCCATGTGAGGGGTTGGACCCACAGAAATTGACAATTAAGACGGTAATGTTAATAGCACTGGGGTCAGCATTCAGAGCTCAATCATTAGCTTTAATACAGCTAAAGGACATAAAATCGCATTCAGGTGGTGTGGAAGTTAGGATTACGAACTTAATCAAGACTTCGAGAGCAGGAGTTAATCAACCACGAGCCTTTTTCCCATTTTTTAGTGATAAGGACTTATGTGTGGCCCATACACTTTTATATTATATCGAGGCTACAAACTCAATTAGAGGAGAGAAAGAAAGATTGTTTTTATCGTTTAAGCAACCTTATAGTGAGATAGGCTCTCAGACCATAAGCAGGTGGTTAAAGTTTGCCATGAAAGAGGCAGGTATTGATGAGAAATACAAAGCGCACAGCACCAGGCACGCTTCTTCTTCAAAAGCCTCAGTTAGAGGTATTGACCTTAAAGTTATTAAAGATGCTGCGGGATGGTCTGAGAGGTCAAGTACTTTTTTTAAATTTTATAATAGACGGATCGACGGCTCCGAAGGAAGTTTTGCTAGAGCAATATTAGCTCAGACCTGATATTAAAAGGGAAGAAGAAAGAATTTTATTTTTCTTTCTAATACGAAACATTCATTTTATAATATTAATTACTTTTGTTCTTTTCATGTTTTACGAATAAAATATATTCATACAAGTAAAATATATTTGTTTAGTTACTCTAAACATCTACATAAGTAATATCTTCGAACAAGTTATATGAAATATAATTAATGATTAAACGAACTTACAAGTGAAGTTCGATCATAATTATATGAATTACTTGTTCGAAGATATTAGTTCCCACCCAATATTTAAAAAAAAAAAAAAAAAATATTTTTTTTTTATTTAACCCAACCCCCCAAAAAAAAAAAAAAAAAAAAAAAAAAAAAATGTGTTTTTTTATACTCTAAACTAAATGAAGGAACAAAGGACCTAAGAGATGGACAAAGAGGTAGACAAAGAGGGGATGTATGAAGTCAGATCCACAGCATATTTTGCTTTGATCTATCTCTAAAAGTGGCGACATCCAACAGCAAGTTGCGGTACTACATAAGTAATATCTTCGAACAAGTAATTCATATAATTATGATCGAACTTCACTTGTAAGTTCGTTTAATCATTAATTATATACAGGATTTTTGAGCTCTGAGTTTTTAAAATCTCGATTTTCAAAATGCACCCCACGAGAAATTCAAATTACGCCCCTGACCAGACCGAGGTAAGGTTGGGTTCGGTTTGAGACGACAAGGACGACAATTTGATTCCGGTGCTTTTCGCGTTTTGCTTATAAGGTAAGTAAATTTTTTTTCATAACACATGCATGAAAAATGTAGCTTTCTATATTGATGAAAATTGTTCAGAAAATGTCACATTTCCGAAGACTGCAAGAAACTTTCACTGTTCAACCGCAATAAGAATTTAAAGTTACATTGTCGCACAGTTGTTATCACCAATAAGGTAGTTCAAGTTGGGTGGGGGAAATCCAATATGGCTGACATCAGCTGATTTACCAAAGGACAAACAATGCATTGAATTCAATGGGACAAATCAGTTTTTGAACCATAACTTTTTAAATATTTATTTTTGAACCATAGTGTAATGGAAAATTATTCTTTATTTATCGAAATCTATTTTTTAAAACAATAAAACCAAAAAATTAAATTTTATTGTTTTAAAAAATAGATTTCGATAAATAAAGAATAATTTTCCATTACACTATGGTTCAAAAATAAATATTTAAAAAGTTATGGTTCAAAAACTGATTTGTCCCATTGAATTCAATGCATTGTTTGTCCTCCGGTAAATCAGCTGATGTCAGCCATATTGGATTTCCCCCACCCAACTTGAACTACCTTATGGGAATATGTACGTATTTCTACATGGATTAAGAAAATCTTTTGAATTCAGACAATTAAAAACATTTGTGACGATTGTACGTTGTCAGATTTGGTAAAAAGTGCCTCTGTAAACAGAGAAAAATTTGTTAGAAAATGAATGTTTACCAATTTCACGTCATTTAAATCAATCAGTGCCGTATTTGTTGGGTGATAACTGTTAGTCGCACATAACCTACAAATTTCAGAGACCATCGAACGCTCTTAACAATTATTTTTACATTTTATTTTCAATATACGAATATTCATCTACAAAAAAGAGGAATTTTTGTTTATATTTGAAAGTTTTTTTTTAACTAAAAGATGAATTTTAATCTTTCTTCTTTGATTTAAATTAATCCTCTCAAATTGAAACTATACTAGAAAAGAAGATTTTTACATTGTTTTTTGTTTTTCTGAACGCAGCTTCAAACTGTTTAAAATTGACATTTAATAGAAAATATGAAAGAGGAAAATCCTCTCAATTAGAAAGGAAAAATTTAGTGTCCATGGGAAAAAATACTGCAAAAGAAGAGGAATCGTCTAAAATTAAAAACATTTTTATTTTCGGTGTAGGTTGTCGAAGAGGATGAATAATGAACAGATCCATCAATCACATTAAAGTTTAATATTTATTTTCACAAGTTAATTTTCCAAAGTAATACAAATATTTATTCATTTTTTTCATTTACAGTTATTTTCTTTAATTTCTAAATTTCAATTAAAATCACTCCACATAATGTTTTTCAATTATTTTAATTTATAAATCACCATTATACTTAAACGCTGAAGTTCACAATAAGTCAAAAGTTTGTTGTATCGTGTGCGCGAAGATATACTAAAAATATTTCGTCTTATTAATATTTGGTATTGTCTATAATATAATTCACTTATACCTCGTTAATTACATTTTAATTGCTATATTACGCACTTATTGTCAAATTTATAAATATTATTATTTTCCACTGTAAAGGAGCTGATAATTTAGATATGGATAGTGATAGACGGTATGAACCTTCTGAACTCTTTCAACACACCCATATTGCGTGCAATCCTGAAAAATATGAAAAATTACCATTTTAAACTTTAAATACACGACTTGACAAAACTCAATAAGTAAATATTTAATTTAAGCATACCATTTGTATACTATTTTGAGGAACAGATAAAACTGGGAAATACTCTTTGAAAATGAATAAATGAGTAAAAGGATTTTTTGAATAATTTGTCTTTTGACTTCAAGTTTAAGCAAAATGATGAATTGACTTGATTTCTACTTTTAAAAATTAAAATTACTGAGACTCAATAATTTACCCATGTTCTGGGTCCTTGTACAACTTGCACTGGATAATTTATAACGACTGGAATGTTTTGTGTCGGTGGTGCAGTTGTAGCCGTAGGAGACTGTACATCGACTGGTGGGTTTGATTCTGGTCTTCCTGTAGTGATTGGATTATTCGGAGTCTTCGGCACAACAGGACGTTTATAAATATTCACACATTTACCAGATAAACAGTACTAAAAAATGAAATTTTAAAATAAATAAAAAGTGTTGGATACAACGGAGTAAGGAAAGGCGATTAAAAATACAAATTTTAATTTAAAAAGATAATTACAGTTCCACCTGTATCGAAGAATTATCATAAGTTTAAAATTTGTTTGTGTGCTTTTGAATGACATCTCATAGATATAACTTGATCGATAAAGTCGATAACTTCTCTTTAATGAGATTAAAAATATTTCAAGAGAAAAAATCTAAAATTTAAAGAAATGTTTTTATTACCTTTCCATGACCACAAGGACTTCCTTCTGCCGGAGGATTTTGTAATGGATAAATTAATTGATCAGTTCGTAAACAATGTAGATCTAAACATGTTGTACTCTCCTAGAAGAGAAATAGTATTAATAGCATTCAATTATTGATGATAAGAAAAATGTATGTGATGTTAATGTTTGAGGAACTTACCTGGTAACATTGAGCATAACCAAGATTTCTGCATTGTTGATCTAAAGACATTAGTTGACCGGGTAATATTCTTGGTAGGGGTTTGTTATTTTCATAGTCAGCAGGATTGTTTCGTATACATTGAGCAGAATATTGGCTGATGGAAAATATAATTTATTAATGTTTAATTAAAGTTATGAGCAAAATCACAATAATAATAGTAACATTATTAGGAGAATCTAAAAACTTCTTGTGAGTTATTGCTGAGGTTTTAAACCAAATGTTTAATGTTTATATTAATTTAATAAATTTCAACTTCAAAGTACCTTAAAGTTGCTTTAATTTCACTCTTCGAACAAGGAGAGAACAAAATCTTATTTTTGTTTTGACGATTGTAACTCATAATATAACCATGCTCATTATAACATTTATAAGGATCATAAGGTGTATAACCAGGTTTGTAATTTTCAGTCTCATCATCTGCACCAAGGCTAAAAATATTTTCAAAATGTTAAAATAATTTGACCTAGGGTAAAAGTGGGTATATATGTGATGGAATGTATTACCAACATTTCCCTGTACATTTAATATTCACATTAATAAATTTTAAATTTTATGGCTTTCAATACTATTCAATATTAAAATTATTCACTACTTCGTTTACTAAATGCATTTTAGGAATATAAACATGAAATTGTGTGATTCTTACATGTGTCCTAATTCATGGGCAGCAACATTGATACCTCCATAACCATTTCTATCTTCAAATACTCCACAAGAGTAATAATTATTATTATTTTGGCACACTCTTCCGGGATAAGCTAAACCTTTAAAAAAAATTTCATTCTTAAAGATTGAAACTTTCGATTGTATGTTAATTGTAAGATAAAATATATTATCATCTATTTAAAATGAAAAAGTTCTACACATACCTGCTAAACCCATTTGAATTTGTCCATTATCTCCATATCCAACCATATCTCGTCCAGTTAACAACACGGATATGTCATAGTTCTTTTTTTGTTGTATAAATTGTTCCTGACCTAAAAAAAATCTAAATTCGTTTAACAGAGTATTTCCAAATATTTGACCCTGGGGATAATTGTTTGTTGCATGATTTATAAATGATACTGGATCCTTTAACACATAAAAAGTTTTTCATAGGTTAGTAAAATTTATCGATTATTTATTTATCAGTTAGTTACATATATTTAACTTTCAAATTCTTTGATGCAGCTGTTTCAACATTAATTCATTTGCACATAAAGTTTCCATTATCTTTACAACATGAAAAGCATATATGTAAAAATTATCGAAATATTTGAAACATCAAATTTTTCAAAGCTTTCTTTACAATATAAATTCTGACATAAAAATAAATATTTTTTGGTATTATAAGAAATATTTTTATAATTATTTCATAATCTTACCTTAATTAATACTATGCCAGCAATATTAAGACGAATCCTTGGTTCCTTGATTTGTCTATACCTTAAATCAACTCCATTCCAAAAAGCTAAAGTGTACTCAACAGCTCGTCTTACATCAGAATTAAATCTTCTGAAATTAAACAAAAAATTTTATTTGAAAGTAAATTAAAATTAACCGTGTAGCGTAGCATAAATAGAAGAAAATAATATGTAAACAATATTTTTTTTAAATATTTAATATGCAAAGTTTACTTTGAAGATAATTTTCGTTTCTTTTATCAAAAATTAATTTTATAATTCTTCAATATAGAGATATTTGTTACTTTATCGTTTAAAGATTTTTTAATTCCTTTAACTTACTTAAAAAGTACATCGTCCATGAAAACTAAAATTTCCGGGTATACAATATCTGGTAATCCAGTAGCATATCTTTTTGATCTAATCTTTTCCGATTTTTTATGCTGCAGTTTAAATGTAGAATATTCTAAAAAAAAAAATTTGTCATTTTTTGATTGCTCAGTTTGTTACTTGCAACGGGAAATACTTACGAGTAGCATTAATAGGAGTATGTTTATAAATTATATGTTCATTAGCATTTATAAAACCGTCTGTGGTATTATCAAATGATGGAGAATTCATTTTCAACAGATCACGACGTTTCCGTAAATGAGTTGGCATTGGACTTATTACCATGTTGTCATTAATAATTCCATTCTTAAAGGGATAACATATTTTTTATTAAGACACATTAAAAGTAAATTAAAAAAAACGAAAATCAAAAAATCATGGCTTAGTATAGGAAAATAGTACTTACAAACTCAGATTCTCCATCTTCATTAATACTGTGTGTAATAGAAGATGAAGTCTTTTCGTCTTGATAGAAGTTTAAAAAGAGGCTGCTCATAATCTGAAAATCATACAGTAATCAGTTTAATCTCAATTTCTAAATATTATATTTCTAAATATATTTATGAAGTACATAATTCAGGAATTATAAGAAACAGAAAAAGGAAGTTTTATTTTTTTTTGCTTACATTTGGTATAGACTCAATTTTTACATTCCCATAACCATAGCCATAATTACTGGCAATAAATACTTCGGTGGCAGTTCCGGCAAATAAACCTTCAGTAGGATGTAAATAAATTTCTTGCTCTACACCATTAATTTTGGTTTGAAATGATAATTCATTGATATTTCGTTTATGGAGCATATGGCGGACTGGCACCACCTCGTATTCAGGTACTGGAAATCAAATTTTTAAATGAAAAACACGATTTTTCAAAGTAAAAATTGTAACTTCTGGACAATTTGAATGTCAGCATATTTATTCATAATCTTCTCTATGTCTTTAAAAAAACAAAAAATTTTCACTATTAGAAAAAATAATTAAATTAAAAATAATTACCACCATCGATTAAGAAATCATCCTCAGCTTTGTTAACCACCTCAAGCGATTGCGTGAAGTGTACAAATAAAGTGCAAAATAAGAATGCGAAGTAATTCATCTGCAATAGTACATCTCGCATTTAATTTATTCACTTTAAAGGAAGATTTTAATTTTGAATTTAAGGGGGCAACCCCACTTGTAACTTTTGAAAAATCGATTTTTTTTGTTTATTGTTTCAGAAATACGTCTGTAAATTTTTAAGTCGAAATTTTAAAAACCAAGATGTCTCAAATACAGTCTCCATGAGAGGAGCTCATCAGTTCGTTCGGGGTCCAGTTTCCGAAACAGTTGAGTTTCAGTGATTACCATTTTGTCAAAAATGAATTTTTCTTAATTCTTCGATTAATGACTAAATTATATAATAATTTAATTTTCAGTTTCAATTTTCTACTTTGAATTAATTAATTATTTTATGGAAAAATATTAGTGGTTGTATTGTTCGTTCACATCTTTATTTCTATAATCATAATTACTTAAAATTGAACCAAAATATTAAAAATTTATCTTACCCTTTTTGCAGAATCAGTCTTTGGGTTAACTATTATTGAAGAATCAAATAATAGATTTACTTTTAAATGCCTTTTTATATATGCAGGATTGAAATTTATAATTATTTTATACTGATAAGAATATTTATTTAAATACGTCATACTTGTTGAATCAATATTAAAATTTTGTTTGATAGTAAGTAGGTAGGAATAAAATAATGAAATATTAAAAAAATTTTATTTATTTACTAGAAATTCCCATAAAAGTATGTGACATAATAACATTCGATTGACAATAAACGTCAAATAAGTCTGCAAAGCATTTGTTTATTCTATTAGCGTTTATTAAAATAATATGTAAAAATTACGTACACATTAATTGTATATTCTATTTTTTTATGTACACATGTGAATTTTAAGTGAGAATATATAGATGACGTATATAAAACACTAAAGCAAATATTTTCTTAATAATATTAATAAAATATTTTTCTATATTTTTAATAAAAAAATGGTTAAAGCCAAAATTCAGGAATATGAGGCTTGATAAAATATTGAATAATGACCGTAAATTACTTATTTCGGTTTAAATGAGAATTATAAAATCTTAATACTCATTAATGTATTAATATTTGCGAAAAATTGTAGTAGATTCAATTGATTTTGAACGTCAATATAATCTCTTTCGTTAGAATCTCTTAATTAACATTTTCCATTCCGGCAAACCTGAAATTAGAAACAAATAGTTTGTTTAATTTCCACCTTATCTACTAGAGAGGATTGACGTGATAGGCTAGCTTCTATAACAACAAGTAGTGATGTCTTCTAGACGTCTTTTTTATGTCTTAAATGCGTACTTTAGACATTCTTTTTGATGTCTTTTGGACTTTAAATTAGTTTTATTTTATTTTAGCTTATTGACAGTAAAACAAAAATATTGAAAATAAATGTATTTAAAAGTTTGAAGGAACAATATCCAGAAATCACAAAAGAACATGTAATCTAGCATATTAGTGAAGAAACTGGGATTCCTATCCTAATGAGGAGATCTCCCTTCTTGGTTGGTCTTTCTCCAACTACTCTAGTCTGACTTTTCTCCGAGTCAACCTCTTTGCGGACCTTTCCCAGCACCTCGGCAAAAGACCTTCCTTCCGCGACCTTAACGATCATTGTAGATCCTCCAGCCGCCGACTTCGCCGTACTACCATGACTTGTTGTTGGCTTCGGTATCTTAGAAGGTGCCAAATAACCTTAGTTTTTCGTTTGGCTTACTATTAAAAGTTAAGGTAAGTAAATTTTTTTCATAACACATGCATGATAAATATAGTTTTCTATTGATAAAAATTGTTCAGAAATAGCACATTTCCGAAGACTGAAAGAAACTTTCACTGTTCAACCAAAAAAAATATATGCACGTACATATTTCTACATGGATTAAGAGCGTTCGATGGTCTCTAAAATTTGTAGGTTATTTGTGACCTACACTTGTCGCCCTACAAAAACGGTACCGCCTTGTTTAAATGATGTGAAATTGGTAAACAATCTTTTTCGAACGAGATTTTCTCTGCACACAAGCACTTTTTGCAAAATCTGAATCCGTACCATTGACACAAATCTTCTTAATTACCCAGTAATAAGGGGTGAATTAAAGTGGATTGGCACTTTTATGCTCTTAAATTCCAAACCAATTCCGTTTTTGTCCGCAATCTTAATGAATTCCTTTTCTATTGTTAAATTGATAGTTTCTAAAAAATCGTCTGGATTTTCCCATGGACTTTTCAGGTAGAAATCTATATGGAGATTTGAAACTATCCACATGAAATCCGCATGGATTGCCATGTGGATTTCCGCATGGATTTTTTTATATTCTTAATAAACTCCAAATATGAACGATAACCTCTTTAAAAATGCAGAAAGTAGTAAGTGAGACCCCTTCGGGGTCTCAGAATTCGAATTTGCTGTTTATTTTCGAAAATATTTAAAAATAGAAGAAATAGAAAATTTCCATGTGGATTTCCATGTGAATTATTTCAAATCTCCTCATGGATTTCTGCGTAAATTTCCATGTGGAAAATCCAGACGAACTTTTTCAGTTGGGAAAAAGAATTTGAAACCAGAATTTGAAACCCCTTTAATGCCCTTTAAAGAATTCAATGTTAATTAAAAGGCATTAACTCCACAACAGATTTCTCTCCGTGTATAATATAATTCACTTATACCTGATTAATTACATTTTAATTGCTATATCACACACTTATCGTCAAATTTATAAATATTACATTTATTCGCAATCAAGAAATTTTTTTTTTATTTAAAACTCTTTTTTCTACAGCTGAAAATCGACTTTACTTTTAACGAAGATCAAATTCATAATATTTAGCCAGGTCGCTCAATGGCTAAACAATGGCATAAACTTTTTGATGAAGAACTTTATACAAAGTACAATAAATTATTGGATTTTTAATATTCTAGGCATAGTAGAAGAAGAAAATTAGTACGTATAATAATACATTATTATTTTCCACTGTAAAGGAGCTGATAAATTAGATTTGGATTATAGTAATATATACGGTATGAACCTTCTGAACTCTTTCAAAACATCCATTTGGCGTGCAAACCTGAAAAATATGAAAAATTACCATTTTAAACCTTAAATACACGACTTGACAAAACTCAATAAGTTAAATATTTAATTTAAGCATACAATTTGTATACTATTTTAAGAAATAGATAAAACTGGGAAATACTCTTTGAAAATGAATAAATGAGTAAAAGGGACCGACAGATTAGCTCAGTCGGATAGATGCCTCGCTTGGCGGTCGTTTAAGGACCAAGGGTATAAAGTACCCTTGGTTCGCGCCCATTTGGCTTGGTATTTTTCCGGCACGTGAGATAATCTGAGCTTAAGACGGGTGTATAAACCAAATAAATAAAAAAAAATGAGTAAAAGGATTTTTTGAATAATTTGTCTTTTGACTTCAAGTTTAAGCAAAATGATGAATTGACTTGATTTCTACTTTTAAAAATTAAAATTACTGAGACTCAATAATTTACCCCTGTTACAGCCGTAGGAGACTGTACATCGACTGGTCGGTCTGGATTTGGTATTTCTTTAGGATACTCTACATCGTCTTGTGGATCTGAATCTGGTCCTTCTGCAGTGATTGCGGATTATTCGGAGTCTTCGGCACAACTGGACTTTTATAAATATTCACACATTCACCAGGTAAACAGTACTAAAAAATGAAATTTTAAAATAAATAAAAAGTGTTGGATACAACGGAGTAAGGAAAGGCGATTAAAAATACAAATTTTAATTTAAAAAGATAATTACAGTTCCACCTGTATCG